TTGACTTTATACAAGCTCAAACTCCTTGGCTTCAGTGAATGGTTAAGAGCGAGCTCTAGAGGGAGTAATTATGAAAAGAATAATAAAGTATGGGGAGAAGGCAAAGGCTTTAGAAATCGTCTTTCCAGCACCCCCTAACTCACTTTGGTTGGCTAACTCCAGGGCACCCAGAAGATAAGTTCTACCCAAGAAGATGTGGAGCCATTCCTATGCATTCTTCTCCCGGCCACCATCCTGCTCTTCCTGGCCTTTCTGCTGCTTTTCCTGTACCACCACTGCAAGGCTGCCCGGCCCCAGGGTCAGGTCTTCAGCATTGACCTTACAGAGCACTCCGCAACCGGAGAGGTCACTGACTTTCTGCCAGCGTTGCCGTGGAACAGTGAGCAGAACTTCCCCTACTCTCCTCTACCTAGGGAGGTGGCCCTCGTCTCCGTATGCCTACCCCCCTCTTATGAAGAGGCCACCAGGAATGCCCCCAGGGAAGAGACCCTGCACTATGTCCTTCGGTGTGAAGAAAGTTTGCCTGGACTGCAAGAACAGATCTAAAATGCTCTTGGGGGCCTCTGAAAGCACAGCTCTGGGCAGAAGAGATTGACAGGGGTTAAGGTGCTTGCTTTGCATGGAGCCAAACCCAGTTTGATTCCCAGGAACACATAGGGTGGTTGTCTTGGAGCCCAGCTCAGAGTCAAGACTGGGCCCTGAGCATTGCCAAGAGTGGTCCCCAAATCCCAACCCCTCCCAAAACACACAGTTCTGTTGGAAAATCCTTCAGAGTCCAAGGGAGAAGGAAGAAGGTTCTAGACCCAAAAATCTGTTTTTTTCTTGGCTAGATGAGATCCCTTGCACAGGGGAGGAGCTTGACCAACGTCAATCTAGCTAGCCCATTTTCAGGTTCCTGAGGAGACATTTGTCCCCAGGTTGTTCTAAAGATGACTGGGCTCTTGTAGGTATGCAGCACCCTGAAAGAGATGTGAAAGATTGATGGGAGCTGAAAAATCAATTAGAGTTACTAATGATCATAGAAAAAAATTGGAAAGGAAGGAAACCTGAAAGAAAAAAAAAGCTAGACAAACTAAAAGTAACTACTTGCCACGACTAACTTGGCTTCTTGCACAAGTTTTTTCAGGGCCTCTTGGTTCCACTTCTGTGTGAGGGCTCTAGAAGGCATAGGAAGTTGGAGAAGGAGAAATAAACATGTCTAGATCACTCTAGCGTGGTCAACTGTGTTGTAAATCTAGATAAATAATGCTCCCATATTAGACATTTACAAGCATTTTTGTTACAAAATAATAAAGCTCTCAAAATTATCTTCTTCATAGTGTTGTTCTTTTGTTGCTATTGTTTGGGGGAGCCTCACTCAGCAGTTCTCAGGAATCAATCCTGGAGTGACTTGGGGGTCCTTAGAGGGTGTAGGGAATCGAACCCGGGTCAGTCACATGCAAGACAAGTGCCTACCCCCTGTACTCCACTGTACTATCTCTCTTGTGTTGCTCTCGTGTTGTTCTTCCTTCATGATTTGGTCCTCAGAGTTGCGAGAATGTTTCCCACTAGAATATCCTGGATCACCCTATAGCACCATCGTAGAACAAGGAGTTGTTGGTATGACACTTTATCTGAGGGAACAGGTCAAGGTCTGAAAATGTGGGCCTTGACCAAGTCATCGAGCAGCAATCAGTTTAAACATTGGAAAGTAAAGGTCAACAGGATGGATCACAAAGTAAAGAGAAACAGATTAGCTCTTACAGTGACACTATACATCACAGTTCAAAATTGGCTACAGATGTGGAAACTAGACTCAAAAAGATCAATTAACTGGGGAGAGGGCTTCAAGGCTATCAGGAATATACATACAAGCTGAGTTTGGAAGAGACGAAAATCTCCCTCTGTGATTTTCAAATACAGAGCAGAGGTGGGTCATATATCACTGGGGAAAGAGCAGAATCCCTGTGGATTTCAGGGGCAGCAGCAGAATGGGAGGGTGGCCTGCATGGTCCTTAAAAATCATATTCAGTGCTACATCTTTTTTCAAAAACAATACTGAATGCAAAACTAGGCAACACTTTGATGGTGCAAACTGAACCTGAAAAGTGACTTTTCATCTTTTGATACATGAACTTTTTTTTATGCTCTCGTAAGTGTGGTATCACTCAGGAAAATAATATTTTCATAAAAGTGTGTTATCATTTCAAAAAAATAATTAAGCTGATATAGGAGACATTTCTTTCTAAACATAATCTGATTAAAAATAATATAAACTGGGGCAACATAGAAACAATTGAGTGAAGAAAAAAGTCTTCTTTCAGAAAAATTGTATTAATCCCTGATGATCTTTAAGGGTAGCAGTTAAGCAAATGGAAATGAGCGACTCAGTAGAAAATCTTCAGTTTTTTTAAAATTTGGTTTTGAGTTCTAAGAATCCAGTACCTTGTGAAAATCTTTCAACTCTTTTACTGACTGCTATTCTTTCCCAATGAAATCCTGATTAGTTCTAGGATCGCAAAGTCATCAGTTCCTCCCCACAGTGCAGCACGATTGTTAACTCAGGTAATTTTGTTTCCCGTACTAGGGATGCTTTAGTTTTTGAACCCTAAGGGGAGAGAGGTACCCTAGAGAGGTTTGTTCTACAAAAGAGTATCTCATTGAAAATAAACACATAGAAGTAAAATACACAGCCTCTTTGGTGTTTTGTGTCGACAGGTGATGTCTGCAGCCCTGACAGCCATCTTGCAACTAGGAGGCAAGTCCTCAGCCATAATTAATGAGACGACAGTAAAAAAAAAAATGGAAAAGATTTAAGTTGATGACATTGTAGAGTAGTCAAATTGACCCTACCACTTTTTATTTTAATGAGAGAATATCTTTCTTGCCATCTTCAGTCATTTTAATCAAGTGTATTACTAATATTTTGGACAAACTTGCAGGCTATCGAATGTAGCCTGCCCACAGGGCAGAGTCTGGCAAACTCCCCGTGGTGTACCAAATATGCCAAATACCAGTAACAATGATGGGTCTCATTCTCCTAAAGAGCCTTGAATATAATCTCAGGGCTAGGATGAAAGAGACGTTACTGGGGCCTGCTCGAGGCAATCGACGAATAACAGGATGATGAAATGAAAAATGAAAAATGAAATTACTAATAGAGAAAAACATTCTAACTGCTACAGTTTCTAAGGCTATTAAGGAAATGCTTGAGTATCCCCCCTCCCTCCTCCCCCCTGGAACAATCCCTCCTACCACCCTCTGCATGTCAGGCAGGGTGTCGCCCCAGAGCAGAGCTGGGTAAGGCCACCAAACTAAAAATAAAACGTCTGAATCAGACATTTAACATTTAAGTCAATACTTGGACTCATTTAAAATGTTATCAATGATCTGGAGAAGAAAATGTTTTCGCTTATGGAAACAAACTGATGCAATACAGAAAAAAAATAAAACTATTAACCAGAAGTTGCCAAACCATAGCCCACAGTCAAAGCCCACTTGCAATCTGTTACTGCACATCCTGAGAAAGAAGGACCACTTTAACATTTTTTAAGTAGTTGAAAAAAATAGTATTTCAGGACACAGGAAAACTGCAGGCATTCAAATCTTATTGGAACCCAGCCCCATGCTGATGGCTGCTGGGGTAGAATTGAGTTGATGGATCCAACAGAGACTGACTTTCAAAGCCAAAACATTGACTCACTAGTCCTTTAAAAAGAAAGTTTGTTGATCTATAAAACAGTGGATATCAACCCTTCTAGAAACGCTGATACCAGGACCTTCCAGCCCAATTAAATGGAAATAAGAACCAAAATAAAAGTAAATTCCAATGTGGATAGATGTAACCAGGTTATAGAAGACCAGATCTGTAAATCTAGCTTTGAGCCATCCTTCATAAACCCATAATCTCTAATCTCTTTCCTGAAGTCATCAGTCCCATGTGCAGCTGCAACTAATTCAATTTGCAAAGCAGGATAAATGCGCAGAATAGTACAACCTTTTTTAAATGTTGACCCAAGTGGCAAACATGGGCAGAGTTGGTTGCTAGCTCTCCAAAAAGACAGACTGGAGTGGAAAATTCACAAACAAAAGAATGAAATTGTGAACAGTTAAGACATTTGGGGGTGCCAGAACCACAATACAGCAGGTAGTACAATTGCCAGGAGTGAGCCCTGAGAACAGTCAGGAGTAAGCCATGAGCGCTGCTGGGTGTGGTCCCAAAACAAAAACAAACAACAAAAGAAGTCATTGTGGGAGGAAATAATTGTAAACAGAAAAGATTTTAGACTTGGAGGGAATGTGATAGAAACAGTGAATAGAATGTGGGAATTTCCCTTAAGTTCTACACTGGACCTGAAAATATCATGAAGGATCATTTTAGAAAAAGGAAAAGATGCTGGAGCTGTAGTATATCAGGGAGGGTGTTTGCCTTGCACATGGCTGTCCAGGTTTCAATCCTCAACATCCCATATGGTTCCCTGAGTACCGCCAGTAATAATTCCTGAGTGCAGAGCCAGGGGTAACACCAGGTGTGACTCAAAAAGAAGGAAGGAAGGAAGGAAGGAAGGAAGGAAGGAAGGAAGGAAGGAAGGAAGGAAGGGAGGGAGGGAGGGAGGGAAAGAGAGAGAAAGAGAGAGAAAGAGAGAAAGAAAGAAAGAAAGAAAGAAAGAAAGAAAGAAAGAAAGAAAGAAAGAAAGAAAGAAAGAAAGAGAAATCCAGCCTCTGGTCTGGCTTTTAGGAACCTGAAAGTCAGTGTTTCATCCTATCAGAAAAATGAAATGCGCACAACTCTCTTAAATCCAACAGAGATCCCAAGTCATGAAAATCTACAATGAAGTACATACATCCACAGAATAACAGACAGGGAAACACAAAAGGATGCAACTTACTGTAGCAGATATTCATGGACAGAAACCTCAGGACCAAGCATCGGGGAGATGCTGAGCTGGAATTACTGGAAGAAAGAAACGAAGCCTGCTGGAAGCATTTTGCAAGTTGTCCTTAATAACATCTGCCCTCGGAGCCTTTTCCAGTTCAGAGGCATGATGATTGGGTGTCCACACATTTGTGTGACATGTGCCTCCTTTAAATTCTGTTACTTATATGCATACTACTCATCCGAAGGGTGGTGGGGAAGGAAAATAAAAAGAAAAGAAAAAAAAACACAAGACCTGCCCTCAGGAGAAACTATTTGACTAGGAGACAGTCTGCTCCACCGTTTCAGCTTTTTAGCCAAGACTAACTGACCCTGGCGGGTGGGAGACAGGTGGGATTTCCAGGTGATCTGAATCATCTTATAGGAAGTAAAAAAGGTCTTAAAGGAATGGAGACCTGAGGCTGGAGTTACAGTACAGTGGGTAGGGAACTTGCCTTGGACAAGGCTGAGCCAGGTTGTGATCCCGGCATCCCATATGGTCCCTCAGGAGCTGCCAGGAGTAATTCCTGAACACAGAGCCGTGAGTAACACCAGAGAACCATCAGGTGTATCCCACAACCACCACCCCTCAAAACAATTTTTTTAATTAAAAAACAAAAACCTGCCAATAAAGTTCCCAGCCCAGATCTAGGTCTTGTGAGATGTAGTCACAAGACTTCAATATTTCTTCACTTTCAATCAATCTTATCACCACATAATTAAAAAGCATATATACCAGCTTCCCCCCAAACACCTCTGTCATTCTTTTTTAACTTCTGTTACTAGGATAGAATGTCATGCATACAAGACTCATGTTTTTTCCATGGAACAACATCCTTGGTGCTATATTAGTGCCTCATAATCCGTTTATGAAACCTATGTTTCACCAAAACATTGCAAGGTATGCTAAAAGACCAAAAACAATATGGTCTGAAGAGACAGCAAGGAACAGAACCAGGAATTTCTATATAATAACTATGACTAATGTGCAAAGGACTCAAGAGGAAAAAATACGCAAAAATATTAGAACTGGAAAATCTGAGAGAAAGAGAACAAATACTAGACATCAAATGCACTACCGGGAATAAATGTCTTCGGGGGAGCAGTAGACTAGTCACAGCGAAGGAAAGAATCTCTGCGCTTATGGATATGTTCGTAATGAGGCCTTGGGCTCAGCTCAAAGGGCTCATAAGCACATGCATCAAATGTGGAAGCCCTGGCTTTGATTCTTGGGGCCACATAGTTCCCCAAGCATTGAATCAAGAATAGCCCTCCAGGACCATCAAGTATGGTCCCAAAAGCAAAAACAAAAAAGGATATGGTCATGGAAACTTCCAAAATAGAAAAACAAAGAGAGGCGTTAAAAAAAAAAGACTGGAGGGGGTATGGTGCCGCCAGCAGGTCAATCTGTACCTGTGAGGCGAGTGCATCAGCAGCCTCATGGCGCCTTCAGACTTCTAGATACCCCAAAATTGCTGCTGTGCCTTTGGCCAGACCCCAAAAACTTGGGGCAAAGTTTACCAAGAAAGTAAATGGCTAAAAGTTAGGTATGTGGGAAACACACCTACAAATCACCTCCGGCTCAGCTATATAATTGGAGGCAAAGTCTCTTCGGTTCCTGATTGAACTGCTTAATGGACATGATCCCAGAGACTCAGAAACGAATCTCAGAACCCAGTGGCTTTAGGTAGAAATGCGTCTGGTCTCTGTAGTAGGCTACAGGTGCTGGGCCAACCCAGGTGGGAATAGGTTTTGTGCCTTGGCCTGTTCCCCCTGGCGGCCCAGTGGCCGCCATCCATCTGAGGCCACTGGATAGTCACATTTGGGCCCCCAGTGACGAGACACACAGGGCCTCATGGGATGAGGGTAGAGCCGGGCTTGTCCTCCCCACCCCAACGAGACCCCAAGTCATCGCCCACGAATGGCCTCACTGGCTCCTGATCAAGCTGCTTAACGGCCATGATCCCAGAGACTCAGAAACAAATCTCAAAACCCAGTGGCATTTGGCAGAAATGCATCCGGACTCCACAGTATGTTACTGTTGCTGGGCCACCCCAGGGAGGAAAGGGTGTTGTCCCTCCACCTGCTCCCTCTTGGCGACTTGGTGGCTATCATCCTCCAGAGGCCATTGGACAGTCAGGCTTGGGCCCGCAGTGACGAAACTTGTTGGGTCTCACGGGATGGTGGGGGGGGGGGGGGGAGGTGGAGTCGGGCCTGTCTTCCCCACCCTAACGAGACCCCAAGTCATCGCCCACCAATGGCCTCTCTGGCTCCTCATCAAGCTGCTCAACGGCCTTGATCCCAGAGACTCAGAAACAAATCTCGAAACCCAGTGGCTTTTGTCAGAAATGTGTCCGGACCCCGCAGTAGGTTACTGTCTCCGGGCCACCCCGGGGGGAATGGGTGCTGTCCCTCTGCCTGCTCCCTCTTGGCGAGTTGGTGGCAGTCATCCTCCAGAGGCCATTGGACAGTCAGGCTTGGGCCCACAGTGACGAAACTTGTTGGGTCTCATGGGATGGGGGGGGAGGTGGAGCCGGGCCTGTCCTCCCCACACTAACGAGACCCCAAGTCATCGCCCACAAACGGCCTCTCTGGCTCCTTATCAAGCTGTTCAACGGCCTTGATCCCAGAGACTCAGACACAAATCTCAAAACCCAGCGGCTTTTGTCAGAAATGTGTCCGGACCCCGCAGTAGGTTACTGTCGCTGGGCCACCCTGGGGGGAATGGGTGCTGTCCCTCCGCCTGCTCCCTCTTGGAGACTTGGTGGCTGTCATCCTCCAGAGGCCATTGGACAGTCAGACTTGGGCCCGCAGTGATGAAACTTGTTGGATCTCACGGGATGGGAGGGGAGGTGGAGCCGTGCCTGTCCTCCCCACACTAACGAGACCCCAAGTCATCGCCCACAAACGGCCTCTCTGGCTCCTCATCAAGCTGCTCAACGGCCTTGATCCCAGAGACTCAGAAACAAATCTCGAAACCCAGCGGCTTTTGTCAGAAATGTGTCCGGACCCCGCAGTAGGTTACTGTCGCCGGGCCACCCCAGAGGGGAATGGGTGCTGTCCCTCCCTCTGCTCCCTCTTGGCGACTTGGTGGCTGTCATCCTCCAGAGGCCATTGGACAGTCAGGCTTGGGCCCGCAATGACGAAACTTGTTGGGTCTCACGGGATGTGGGGGGGAGGTGGAGCCGGGCCTGTCCTCCCCACCCTAACGAGACCCCAAGTCATTGCCCACGAACGGCCTCTTTGGCTCCTCATCAAGCTGCTCAACGGCCATGATCCCAGAGACTCAGGAGCAAATCTCTAAACCCAGTGGCTTTTGGCAGAAATCCCTTCAGATTTAAGTGTTAAAATTTCAGAATTTCAAAACCACATGGCCCTACTGCAGCCACACGACATCATATGTTATTCATAACCAGCAATAGAACACAAATTGTCTATTGTTGCCTCTTCAGCAGATCTGAGTGTTGGGGTAAAATCTCAAATAATGGTGGGTCTGGTGTCAAAATAGTGAATGTGATCAAAGTAGAGAGAGAGTAATGTAGAAATCATCTGCCCCACAGGCAGGGGGAGGGTGTGGGATGGGGGTATACTGGGATTTTTGGTGGTGGAGAATGGGCACTGGTGAAGGTTACGGGTGTTTCATTGTATGACTGAGACTTAGACCCAAAAGCTTTGTAACTGCTCTCACGGTGATTCAATAAATAAAATTATAAAAAATGGAAAAAGAAAAAAAAAGTAAGGTGGAGTTCATGCACAATTCAATCAGCTAATCAGTGGCTGAATAAATAGCAGTACTCCTACAAAAAAAAAAAACTGGAAGAAAAACTTTTAAGAGATCTAAGAATGCTGAAATAAAGTTAAAAGCTATAAAATATATGGAATGGGACTACCTGGGAATGAAGAATGTGAGGGTCAGAGAGAGTGGGTAAGGAGCTTGCCTTGCACGTGGCTGACCTTGGTTTGATCCCCAACACTGCTTATGGTACCTCAGTACTGCCAGTAGTGATACCACAGTACTACTGGGTGTGATCCCCGAACCCCCCTACACACACACAAAGAAAGAAGGAAAGAGAAAAAGGAAGGAAGGAAGGAGGAAGGAAGGAAAAGAAAGAAAAGAAAACCAGAGAGAAAGAAGAATGTGAAAAAAAAACAAGAAATATTTTGAAACACTAATAAATGGATTTTTTAAAAATTTTTTATTAGTGAGACATCATGAGGTACAGTTGCAGACTTACAAATTTTTGTGCTTGGATTTCAATTATACAATGATCAAATACCCATCCCTCCACTAGTGCCCATTTCCCACCACCACGAATCCCAGTATCCCTCCCACCGCCCATCCCCCTCATCCCACCCTGCCTCTGTGGCAGCGCATTCCCTTTTGTTCTCTCTCTCTTATTGGGTGTTGTGGTTTGCAAAAGAGGCAATGGGTGACATACATGTTTGGTCTATAGTCTACTTTCAGCATGCTTCTCCCATCCTGGGAGGATCCTCCCAACACCTTTATTTGGTGTTCCCTTCTCTATCTGAGCTCCATTTTCCCCTAGCATGTGTGATTGGCCTCCAAGCCATGGAGTAAAATTCCTGGTACTAATCTCGGCCATTCTTGGGTGTTAGTCTCCTATTTTGTTACTTTATGTTCCCCAGATGAATGCAATCTTTCTATGTCTATCCCTTTCTTTCTGAGTCATTTCGCTTAACATGATGCTTTCTAAATGGAGTTTTTTAAATTAAAGTCAAACTACAGGTTCAAAAAGCTCAGAGAATAACAAGAAAGAATAATACCAAGAAGAATAATGGCTGTATCTAAAAAAAAATGCTCAAAGAAGCCAAAGGGGAAAACACCTTAGCAAAGAGCAGAATAATGTCTCCTTAGAAACAACGTAAGCAAGTGAAATAAAATATTTAAGGTGTTAAGAAAAGAAATCACTAACCTGAATTCTATGCTATGAAAAAGTATTCCTCAAAAGTGAAGAAATGTGTTCTCTTAGACCAATGAGAATTAAGGTAATTTTCTGTGAATGTTTTTTACAAGAGATATAAAAATATTCAGTGAGAAAAAATGATATGGGTATAAAATTCAGAATATAAAAGTAAAAGATTCGAGAAGGAATAAGTACAAATAAAATTGAATTTTTTCCTATCTTAATTTCTCTAACGGATACCAGTTTATTAAAAATAATAACAGCAGCAAAATATTTAGTGATTATAGCTTATGAATAATTAAAATGAATAACAGCAATGATCTGAGGTGAGAAGGAGGAACTAAGACTGTTTTATAATCACAAGGTACTTCTACTCTGTGTGAAGCTGTATAGTGCTATTTGAAAATAAACTTAGCTTAGTTATAATCATATATTGTAATCTCAAGGACAGCCATTAGGAAACATTTCCTCTTTACCAGTAGTAGAATTGAGGCAGGAAGAAAGCTGAAAGAGCTTGTGAGCTTGCTTTGCACTCTGGAGGCTGGGTTCTATCTGCAGTCCACACAGTTCCCCATGCCTCCTAACTTGGCGGGTTGGACTCAATAACAAACCAAAACCAAAAGCTAGTAGTATACTTAAAAAGCTAATAAATGAAATGAAAGTAAAGGTAATCCCATAAATGTTTATTTTTAACCACAGAAGGCAAGAAGAATGGAAGATAAAAACTAGGGGTCAGTAGCAAAAACAGAAAATAATAACAAATATGGTGACTTTTAATCCAACCATGTAAATTCTAATGGGTTCTATACACTGATTAAAAGACAGATGAACATGAACAGCTTTGTGGAAGGTCTATCAAACAGATATTCAATAAAGCATTAAAAATAAGAATAAAGCAAATGAACAACACACACACACACACACACACACACACAAACAAGCGCCTCATGGTCCCCCAAACACCACCAGGAAATGGTCCCTGACCACCAAATCAGTACTATCCCCTGAACAAGACCTGGTATGAACCCAAAACAAAACAAATCAAAGAAAAAAAAAGTGATTTAGAAGAAAGATCCCATGACCCAGACATACTGCTCAACTTTCCCTTTCTTTTGGAGTCAATTCTTAACCTACCCTTGACCTGTCCCACTTCTGGGACACAAACTGAATAAGTACATTAAAACTCAAGAGTGGAGGGTTCCCAGAGAGACCATGATGCAGAACTCACAAACAGGCTGAACATGAACACTGCACAGAAAATGTTTGAGAAAATGCAAAGCGGCTTCTCTTAAAGAAGCAAAACATTAAAACACTGTAATACCTCTATTCTACAAAAATGCAATTCCTACACATTCTTTCCTTTGATCTAATCAAATAATTATGATCACCTATGGCAACAGTACAAGCCCCATACCTAAATGTTAATTAACATGTTAACTGCCTTAAATTTTTAAGAATCGGTCCTTCAGCAAGCAATCTATCAGAAGCTTTTGCTCTTAGCCACAGCAAGGATCCTGCTTCTTTGAAGAATGTGAGCTATCTAGTTCTGCCTTGGTATTCTACTTTTACTTCAAAGTATAAAATGCTTAAAATCAGTATGGATTTGCCCTCTCTCTTTTTTTTATAAAACACTTAGCCAACACCCATCTCAGAAGTTATATCAAGACTAATATTGATTAGAATGAATGTTTTAATTTTTAAAGAAAACTCCAGCTAGACCCTAATGTTTTTTACCCTCAGGCCCACATTCAATAAATGTTTCTTTCTCTTATGTGTCCCAGGAGGAAAACGGTACACAGGTGCTCCTAAACACACACTCACTATTTATGTGTCTGATAAATTCTGGCCAGTGTTCATACAACATTTATCAAGCAATCAGGGATCAACAAATGAGCCAAGTGCTTGGTATAAAAGGGACTTCGTAGTCAGTCTGTGCCTAAATAATGGATGACTATCACAATTCTCACCGAAACTAAAAGAAAATACAGGTGTATGTGTGTGTGTGTGTGGGGGGGGGGGGAATTGCATTTCCCACCATGAGACCCACTGTTACCATTTTATCATTATCATTTTGTGATAGTAGTAAAACTATAAAAAGATCAAATATTTCATGTACAGGTATAAAAGACCAGATATTTTATGTGAAAGTGTAAAAATGACCCCCAAGGAATAATAACTTGACTGTCAAATATGTGGAAGTCAAATTTTATTCATTGAAAACCCAAGTTTTCATCTGTCAGGAGTCTGTTAACTTCTACTGTCAGACTATACATAGATGATACTCTTCCAGTTGTTATTATTCCTGGAAAACAAGTTATCCCAAAGTTAATTTAAACTATCTCTTAAGAGGCATTGCAATATATGTACAGGAACTTTAGACACCATGGGGCTTGTGTGGAAGTTTCAAGACTGCCTAGAGATGACTATGTAGCAGGGACTGGAATTGTCCAAACATACTCACATGTGTGCAGGTCGGTGCCTCACCAGGACACCAGTCAGAAACCCACACATCTGTCCAAGTAGACAGTCGGGCTTCCCCAGAGGGCCATTTCTAGATTCAAAGAGTGAGTATCCCAGAGAAACAGTTGAAAGCCTTTCGTGAGGGGCTGGAGCAATAGCACAACAGGTAGCAGTAGCACACATGGCAGACCCGGGTTTGATTCCCAGCATCCCATATGGTTCCCTGAGCACCGCTAGGAGTAATTCCTGAGTCCAGAGCCAAACTGTTACCCAAAAAGAAAAAAAAAGACTTTCATGATGATCTGGCCACAAAGGCCACAGATACTTCTGGAATAGTCACAAGACTTCCAGGTTTCAAGGAAAGGGTGATGTGTCAAAGTTGCACTATGAAAGCAACCTGTTGGGTGGGCTATCATGTCACTGCTGTCCTCAGGAAATAAAATCCAGCACAAACATGAAATAACCTAATCAACAAATGACAACAGCCATGCCTTGGTGCTTCTCTCACGTATTTGAATTCTCCTTTGATCACACTGGTATACACACAGTGCGATCACACTGGGATACGCACACTTGGGATGGAACAAGTCCTGTGGCTTCAGTCAATTTGTGGGCAGAAATGACTGTAGTTTGCTGCAGAGCATACTTACAGTACAGCTTCATGATTCGGGAATTGTGTATTTACGAATTCTCCTGCTTGCCAAAGTGTGTTTCTAACTCTGAAATCAATATAGCACTTTCTCCAGGGCTGGTGGGCATGCACTTTCTGAGAGAGGTGAAACCTTTTAGCTGCATGATGCTAAAAGGCAGAACAAAAGACGCTGAGGCAGAACAAAGCAAAGCACTGCCTTCTAGTTTTAGCTCTCATACTGTAAACGTGGGGCTAGAGCAATAGCACAGCAGATAGGGTGCTTGCCTTGCATGCAGCTGAACCGGGCCGACCCCTGTCCGATTCCTCCGCCCCTCTCAGAGAGCCTGGCAAGCTACTGAGAGTATAGCGCTGTCACAGCAAAGCCTGGCAAGCTAACCATATTCGATATGCCAAAAACAATAACAAGTCTCACAATGGAGATATTACTGGTGCCTGCTTGAGCAAATCATGAACAACGGGAGGACAGTGCTACAGTGCTACTGTAAATGTGTCTTTTTCTGTCCACTTAGTACCATTTTATTATTATTTTTATTATCATTTTTTTCCATTTGGGAGCTTTTTACTGATGGCTTTATTGTTTAAACCACTCCCCAAGTTAGCACTGAGGTATGCGTCAGAACCAGCAAGTGCAGTTTGAATGTTCTTCGGGGGAGAAAATACGTGTGTTAGACAAACTTCATTAAGGCATGAGCTAGGATAATGAGTCTAAGTTCCATGTTAATGAAACAACAGTACTTCTCACATAAAGTATTTTTATACAATAACCTTTCTAAACAAGGTAATATATTGACTAATAGGTTGCTGAAATACAACAATAAGCTTGCAGGAACCTAACCTTTTATTTCCTCTAGAAGCAGTGGTTCGATATTCACTAATTCAGTGTTTGAGGTGACTAAATAAAATAAAACAACCTTAAGTCTGCCACTGAGAAGAATAACAAAGCACTTGTTGATATAAAGGTGCCTATTTGTACCATCACCTGCTATAAAACTAAAAGTATCTTTCAGTGTCACATAAGTCCTATCGACTAAAAATGATCTAATAGAGGTCAGAGAGATAGTACAATGGAATGAGAGTATATTTTGCATATGGACGGGTGGGGTTTGATCCCCAGCTCTGCAGGATTTCCTTAGTTGCAGTTGCCAGTTGTAATTTCCCAAGCACAGAGCTGGGAAGAGCCCCTGAGCACTGCCTGGTGAGTCCCAGAAAGCAAACAAAAGAAAGAAAAAAAAAGACATATGGCAAGACACAAAAGAGGTGAAAAGACACTCCATGTTCATAGACGGGAAGAATGTCTATGAACTCACCTTGGCAGCTCATATGCTAACATAGGAACAATAAAGAGAAAATTAGTGAAGCCCCTTTGCAAGGATGACATGCAAATTTGTGAAAGACAGACAGAAGGAAAAATATAGTCAAAATGTCCATCTTACAATGCACAGTTGATTGTGCAGTGAGTACCAGCGGTTTGGCCCACAAAACAAAAATAAAAAAATATGAACTAACAAAGAACAATTTTACCTTAACCAAGAAAATAGCGATGTTATAAACTAATACGAATTGTATTAAGCTTATTTTAACTGAAATCCTATTATTTTCAGATAAGCCATTTTCTTTTCTTCCTTCTGTTGTTTTATGTAACTAATTACCACCTTGTAAATATAGATAATTTAGCCCAGTTACCTGCTGTTATCTCATTGTACATTTCATACCCTATAAAGTGAATGTCTCCAAATTTAACCTCAGCTTTCCTACAAATCAAATGCCCTCTTCCCCCAAGGCACTAATAATTATAAAAGATACTCTGCAGGTGAAAAGACAACCTACTTCTTAAGCAACAATGTAAATTACTTTCTTTTCCACATTAAAACACACACACACACACAATAAAAACCAAAAAAAAAAAAAACCCTTTAATAAAATTGTGATCTCAACCTTACAAAGTGAGCTAAGGAAGGGGCCACATCTGTTACATAAGTAAAAATTAACAGGTTATTTTTAAAAATGAGCCAAATTCATTATACAGTTTTCACTAAAATAATTCAAACCTAGCACTGTACAATAACAAATTTGGCAAAAATACTATGAGTGTCATGTGTCTGCAAACCACTCCACATTTGTCTGAGAAGGGATAAATATTACAAGGTCTGCTTCAAAAGCCTTAGACCATACAAAGCAGCGTTATTCACAGTGAAAAGGAAGAGAGAACTGAAGCTTGCTATATCACATAAGATGGGTGAACTCATAAGACTTAAAAAAAAAAAGAAAGAAAGAAAGAAAGAGAAAAAAAGTCTATTACAAAAGCACATGTACTACATGATTTAAAATATATGAAATGTCCAGCAAACCACAGAGGCAGAGATCAGTGAGCTGGAGGAGGGTGACTACTGTCTAAATTGTGATGGAGTGATCGAATGCTCTGGAATTAAATGGTGATGGTTGTTCTACACTGAGAATGTACTAAAAAGCACTATAAAGTACACCATATGATGGTGAAATTTATGTTATGAAAATTATGTCTCAAAAAAATTTAGGGGCAGGAGAGACAGCATAATGGGTTGAGCACATGCTTTGCAGGCTGGAGGAGGCCTGGGTTTGATCTCTTCAGCAGCCTGGGCCTTGAGCACCTCTGGGAGTGATCCCCTGAGCACTGAACCAGGAGTAGTCCAGTACAACCAAAAACCAAACAAGCAAACAAAAATTCAAAGCACTGGGACCAGAGAGATAGTACAGCAGATAGAATGCTTGCCTTGTACGTGATCAACCCAGATTTTATCCCTGGGAACCCTGAGCCTTTGAGTAATCCCTGTGTGCAGAGTCAGAAGTAAGCCCAAAGCACTACTGCTGGGTGTGGCTCAAAAACCAGGACAAAACAATTCGAAACGCTTAGGTACACCCATTAGGTTTTCTGTAAAAAAAAAAAAAAAAAAAAAAAGGAAAAGGAAAAAAAATCCAGCAGATTAATACAGGTATTGGTGGAGCTATAGAGAAATATCATGCCTACACATGCTAGGGAAAATGCTAGTTGATACAGCCACTTAAAAATATAGACTACCCATTCCTCAAAGTGACATATGGATTTGACGTTCTGTTTGCTTTTTGGCAGTCCCACCCGGCGCTGTTAGGAATTACTAGTCCAACTAGCAATTCTACTCTGAAGTACCTATCCACGAGAAATGAAAACATAACAAGATACAGAGACCTGACAGAAATACGAATAGCAACATTATTCGTAATAGACAAAAGTCTGGAACTAGTCAAATATCCATCCACTGGAAAATGAATAAACTACTTACAAAATGAAGTCTCTTCCAGCCATAAAAGATGAAGTACTACACACATGCTATAACGTGGATGAACCTTGAAAACATGTTGCGAGGTGGAAGAAATGAGACAGACAGGATGATATGTTACATACTATAGTTCTGCAAGTTTTTCCCCATTTCCTGCCCAATAAGATGGTATTTGGGACTCTGGGGTGATTAGATAATGAAGGCAGAGCTCTCATAAATGTAGTTTGTCTCCTCCTGAAAGAAGCCAGAGGGTCAGAGAAACAGTTGAGTGGGCTGAGTTTGTGCTCTGCATACAGGAGGTATCATTCCTCACACCACATAGTTGTCCAAGCATGATCTGGAACAAACCCTGAGCACTCAGCCAACAGTAGCCTTCCAACACTGCCAAGTGTGGCTCAAAGAAATAAAAAAATAAATGAAAATTAAAGGCCCCAAAGAAGGGTGTGCTTTTACATGCAGTACATCGATAGAAAAGAAGCCAGCGCTCAGTAAGAAAATTTTAGAAGCACGATATATTGATGGCAGCAGACCTAGCCAAGCCCCAAGGACTGGAACTAGAATAAAGGTGAGAGCTCAGTTTTATAGAATATCTAATGGGGAGACTGAGTTTTGTAGAATATTTGAGAGGGAATGGGGCCCTTGCAGACAGCAGGCACGTGAGGATAGAAGCAGAAATTTCTCAGTGTGTTACGTGCAAAGTTGAGTCAGCACCCTTTATTTCAAGGACACTCGGAGCCAACTCTTCAGTCACAAGGCAGGGGGTTATCTAGAGGCCATTGGGCACATATGCCAGAGTTGCAATATGTTTCTAAGAAGACTTTCATTTCTCCTGCTGCTCAGTTTTTCATGAGCAGGGGCTGATTTTCCTCATTGCATGTGGGGTGCCCCATGGTCCCCCAAGGACTGAGCACAAAGTAGCCCCTGAGTACCAAATGTGGCCCAAAAATCAAAGAGATACATTATATATGAGATCAGAGGAAAAGGCCCTTGTCCCTTCTGCCCTCTAAGACTCAGATTGGTGGTCTGCCATTCAGGAAGGCCTGATTGTGTTGGCATCATGATCTCCAACTGCCAGCTTCTAGAACCAAGACAACTAAATTTCTGCCTTTATAAGTTAGCCAGTGTCTGGTGGTCTGGTACAACAGCTCCCATGTAACGAGACAATATGATCCCATTCATATGAGGTGCAGAACCCACAAATTTAGACACGGAGGGTAGGTGTGCAGTTTCTTTGGGCTGAGGGATGACGCACTGGGGCAGGTGTGTGTGTCTGTGTATGTGTGTGTGTGTGTGTGTGTGTGTGTGTGTAGGCTAAAGGGTATGGAGTATCTGGGAGGGTTGGGGTGGGGTTGAGGAACTGATAATGAGGTTCTAAAATTGTGACAATAATGACTGCAGGACTTTGAATACACTAAGAACCACTGAGTGGTACATTTCAGATGGGCATATTATTTGGCATTGTAAATCATATCTTAATAAACTTAGAGAAGGTAGAGAAGTAAATCTCAGCCAAAAAAAAAAAAAAAGAAAGAAAAAGAAAATTCAGCACAAGTCTGGTTGCTGTCCTTGCTTTTTTTTTTTTCTCTGTCCTCCAGCACAGCCTATTAAATCTCACAGGATGACTCAGTAGCCTTGGGATTTCTGGGAAAGACCTGGAACTCTCCAGGACCTATGGTGGTCCCACCCATCTCCATCGGTCCTGTTCAGAGCCCAGAGGGATGATGGGATCTAGACCACCTTCTAGGGGTGATGAGGACCTTTGGCCTCGGTTGGACCTCCAGTAGCAACCGTCATATTGATGAACTCCACTCACACTGGGACCCGATAGCACAGCGGCTGGGGATATTGCCTTGCACACCACCAACCTGGGTCGGCTCAGGCACCTCAGGAGTGATCCCTGAGCTCAGAGCCACGAGTAAGCCCTGAATCCCGCTAGACGTGCACTCCCAAAAGAAAAAAAAAGAAAGAAAAAATGCTAATAAGGACTTTGCCTTGCATGGAGCATAACCAAGGTTCAATCCCCGGGACTCCAAATGGTCTCCTGAGCACCACCAGGAGTGACCCCTGAGCGCAGACTCAAGGTATAAGCCCCGTGCATCAGTGGGTGTGACTCAAAAGTCAAAACAATAAAAACAAAATTAAAAAAAAATCTAAAAAAGTAAAATAATAAATTTCATGGACGGTGAGCAGGCGCCCCGCTGCTGCTGTTCGCTGGGTACACCCACGAGGGGCCTGCCTGCCCGCGCTGGTCCAGGGAAACAGACTGGGTCTGCAGAACCTGTTTCCAGCAGGTGTGGGGCGTGCAGGAGAAGTCCCGGAACCGGTCACACCAGAACCCCGCCAGCACAGCTGCTCGGTCCACCTGCCACCGCGCCCGCCGCGCGCCTCCACCCCCCAGCCCTGCGTGCAGGTTAATTACAAAAACAAGTTGAGGGGTACGGAGTCCGGGGGGGGGTCGGCGGCAGGGAACCCCCAAAGAAGACCGGGTCCAAGCGGTTTCTGCACCTGTGGTCTCCAGGTGGGACCCCGGGATCCCACGGGGGTGGCGATCCGGTGCCTGTGGGGTCGCAGCGCCCCCTCCCGGGCCCGTCTCCGGCTCGTCCCGCCGCGCCCGGCCGAGGGAGGGGCCGCGTGCGGGGCCAGCGCGGGGGCGGGGACTCGGGGCCAGCGCGCACCCCTGCATCCCCGCGCGGCTCCCGGGTGCTCGTCCCCCCCGCGGAGCGTCCCCGCCGCCCATGGCCGAGGTGGTGGAGCCCGACCCCGGCGCGGCCGAGGACCCGGAGGCCCAGGCCCTGGAGACGCCGGCGTGGAAGGCGCCCGAGGACGCGGGCACCCAGGTAGGCGCCTCCCGAGGGGACCCCCAGGGTGTGCGCCCCGCGGAGAGGCCGCGGATCCCACCGAATTCAGGTGGAAAGAAAGGAAGCCGAAAGAAAGCGGGCGGCGGGCCTTGGGCACCCCCTTTGCCTTCTTAAACCCCAAAGTTCCTTAGTTTTTGCGCGACCTCACGGCCTGTCCCAGTTCAGCTTCTCTTCTTTGTGATTGAGAGAAGTGTTGAAGAGGGGAGGGCCGGAAAGAAAGACTGCAGGTAAATTAGAGCCTCGGCACCCCAGATGCTCCCCGAACCCGGCCAGGGGTGACCCCTGAGCCCAGAGCCAGGAGTAAGCCCTGAGCATGTGGCCCCCAACACCCTCCCCCTCCCCATAAATAAATTAATTAAAAATAAAGTGCGTGGGCAGAGGGGGGAAGAACTGGATTGCACCCCAGGATCTGCGGTGGGACCATCCCGGCGGAGGGGGCGTGACAGTCTCTAAGAGCCGAGGGGCCGACTCCGCCCCCTCCCCTTTCCATTCGGGGGAAGGGGAGGGGGATGCAAGTGCGCGCAGGCCCAGGGAGCCCGCGCGCGTTGGTGCTCCAAGGACGTGAGCAGTGGACTGAACCGCGGGGCGGATCCCCGAGACCCAGCCAGGCGTCTTTTAAAAAAACAAAAACTTATTTTTATCAAATAAGACCTTATTTTATCTAAATGGACTGGCCTCGGGGTCCAGACCCATGTCCCCAGGACTGCTGTGTTCCATTTCAGCCCGGAAGTTACGAGATCCGACACTATGGACCGGCCAAGTGGGTCAGCACCTCGGTTGAGTCTATGGACTGGGATTCTGCCATCCAGACAGGTTTTACCAGACTGCACGGCTACATTCAAGGCAGGAACGACAAAGGTGAAGGCAGTCGGCTGCCCTGGGCACTCTAGGCTCCTGAGTGACTCCCGGGCTTCCTATTGACGTTGGGCTGTTTAAAGAAAAGCCCCGGTTCCACTCTGCTCACACCCTGCAAAGCTTTCTCAAGCCTCTGTTTCTCTGTTTCTATTGGAGTAATTGAGCGGGCGTTCAACTTTTCCTGGCTAATGCTTTTGAGTTAATTTGATGATGGGGTAAGAGATTCAGGCAGGTGCAACAATCTTAGGCCTCCAGACAAAACTTCTTGCCTCTGCTGACGTGCCCTCTGTTCACTTGGCGGACAAGGACCCACTGCAAATTGTAAAAGTAAATACTGGTCTGTAATTGCTCCTTCCATTCCTAAAACTCTGGAATTGACAAACAAAACAAAAAACTGCTTATTTTATCAAACCTTATTTTTATCAAATAAGACCTTATTAATTTGTATTTTACGGCTTTTTGGGTCACACCTGCTGATGCACAGGGGTTACTCCTGGCTCTGAACTCAGGAATTACCCCTGGTGGTGCTCAGGGGACCATATTGGTTGCTGGGAATAGAACCTGGGTTGGCCATGCGCAAGGCAAACGCCCTACCCGCTGTGCTATTGCTCCAGTCCCAAATAAGACCTTATTTTATCAAAATGACAGTTATATTAAAAGCAAATAATTGGGGGTAGAGAGATAGTACAATAGATAAGGCGCTTGCCTGGCATATATTTCTTCCCTTCCCCCCATTTTTTTCCTTCATTTGTTGATCTCAGTTCTATTCCCAGTACTTCATATGGTCCCCTGACCACCGCCAGGAGTGACCCTGAGCACAGAGCCAGGAAGAAGTCCTGGGCATCTCCAGGTGTGGCCCACATACCCCCCCCCCCCCATCCCATCCACAGGAGCAAATATTTACATCAGTGGCATAAAGTAAATCAGGAAAGTCAGATTCAGAAATAATAGTTTCAAGGGCCGGGGAGATAACACAGTGAACTGGAGCATGCTGGAGGCCCAGTTTAATTTCCCAGCACTGCATGATCCCAAGTCCTAAGCTGGGAATAACCCCTGAGCACCATTAAATATGCCCCAACCCTCCTCCCCCAAAGGGAAAGAAATGATAGAATTAATAGATTCCATTGTAATATGTAGCCATAAGTACCCTAAAGCTGCTTTCATGTCTCTTCAGTATTTGACTGTATCTTTATGACACAGAGATGAAAATAAAGATGACAGCTCCAGTGACGAGCTACGTGGAGCCGGGGGCCGGGCCCTTCAGCCAGTCTACCATTACCGTTTCCCTGTATATCCCTTCTGAGCAGCAATCTGATCCGCCCAGGCCCTCGGAGTCAGATGTCTTCATTGAAGACAGGGCCGGGATGACTGTGTTTGTACGGTAAGTGGTGGGTAATTTATAGCCCTGCTGACTGCTGGCTTTCCTTGCCTGCTCTCACCGGCTCACTCCTCTGCAATTTCAGTCGGCTTTTCACCCTTCACTGAAAGCCAGTCGAATGCATTTTGTGTGTCTTCCCTCTGGTTTAGTTTTATATTACTGAGGGTCTGTCTGTTGTAATGTATAATCAATTCATTTAAGGAAGAGGTGATCCCCCCCTTCCCCGCTCCCTGTCCGCCCCCTCTTCAAATAAGACAGGATACAGAGAGTTGCTCCCAAAACACGTGAGAAAACAGCAGCTCTTACCTGCTGTCTAGTTGGACAAGAATAAAAAAGTCCTTTAAAACACAGTACATGGGGCCGAGGGAGAGTACAGCAGGTAGGGCACTTGCCTTGCACATGGCTGACAGGGTTCGGTCCCCAGTGCCCTAAATGATCCCCTAAGCATCACCAGGAGGGATCCTTGAACACAGAACCAGGAATAATCCCTGAACACTGTTACGTGTGTCCCCAAGCCAAAAAAAAAAAAAAACATTCATAATACAACAAAACAAAAGAAAGAAACCCCAGTCCATTGTATCCTTGTATCCTTCCTTCCAGATTCTAGGTTCTGATTACCCCAAACTCTTCGTATTGTGTCCTCTGCCAGGGAACAGGAACTGTCGCTGCCTACTCTGCCTGTTAGATTCTCGGTTCCTTTAATATGAGTATCGGTTAGCTGTTTCTCATTCCTTAGATTAAATTCTCTTTGTTAAAGTACACACACTCTCTCTCTTTCTCTCTCTCTCTCTCTCTCTCTCTCTCTCTCTCTCTCTCTCTCTCTCTCTCTCTCTGCCAAGAGTCTCACACCAGAGGATTTTGCTTTATTCTCATTTATTTTGTGGGTTGTGAGTTTTCAAAGAAAGATGTTGTGGGCATGCAGGGGACTCGAGCATTCGGTGGCAGAGAGTCACCTCCTCAAGCCAGATGACAGGCAACAGATAGTTGGATGACAAAATGGAGAAACTGGGACTTGGGCCTCAGACTGGTTGGCAGTCAGTTTGTTTCTCCTCCCCCTTGTAATCCAATCTCTCCCCTTACGGTGCAATCATAGTTTTGGTCATAGTCCCAGTCATCATAGTTCCATCATTCTAGTCTCCTTGTAGACCTTAAAGTCCTCTACTTCATTCTATTCTTCCTGGTCTAGTTCTAGTTTTATAATTGTCTACTTCCGGTCATTGTTGCCATCTAGTCCTCCTCTTTCATATCCTCAAAGTACTAAAGTCTCCAAAGTGTCAGTTCTCATCCTCCTAGTCGTCGACTTTCTAATCCTCACAAACCCTCAAGTCTTCAAAGTCCCAAAGTCCCCGTTGTCCTCCTCTAGTCTTCAACCTCTAGTCCCCTCTTTCCCCTTACAGCATAGTTGTATAGAAATCATGAAGGATAGGGATACACAAAGGTGGGGTTGAACATTATCATAACAACAAACAGAGGTAAAGCCACTCCTTCAGGAGATTAACTCAAGGACAAAAATCTCCTCTGAGGTTCAGCACTTAAGATTAGTAGGAGATTTTCTCAAGGGCAGGATTCTATCCAGGGTGTATTGCTTTCTCCTTTCCTCAGCTAGTAATCCATTTAAACAATCATAGTAAATTTACTTATAATATTTCTGGTCATTTTGTATGAACACAGTAAGCAATATATCAAGCTTAAAGGTTGGCTCTTCCTGAGGACATTTTTTCATTTTCATTTCATCATCCTGTTAATCGTCGATTGCCTCGAGCAGGCCCCAGTAACGTCTCTTTCATCCTAGCCCTGAGATTATATTCACGGCTCTTTAGGAGAATGAGACCCATCATTGTTACTGGTATTTGGCATATTTGGTAGGCCACGGGGAGTTTGCCAGACTCTGCCCTGTGGGCAGGCTACATTCGATAGCCTGCAAGTTTGTCCAAAGTAGGAATGAGATAATAAGATAATAAGATGGTTCCGGGATCTGGATTTTATAGTCTCTGAGTCTTGGCCGCTGATGGGATTACACGGCGCCAGGGGGCCAGGTGGTGGGTGTGACCCCCGCCTACTGGAATTTGGAGGATCTGGGTGGAAGATGCTCGACTCCAAATCGAGTAGGCTTGGAGGTCTCGGCCCCGGAACCCGCGTGGCTTTGTCCCTCTGCCAGTACCTTCAGGTGTGCGGAGAGTGGTCTCAGCATGGTGGTGGCTGGTCCTGGAGGTCTCCGGCTGCCGTAGCCCTGGTCGGGGCGGGGAGGAAAGCTCAACCCGCTCCCCTCCAAGGGACTCCGGAAAGGAACACCCAGGCGCGGGGGCAGAGACTGCACTTTTCTCGTCCGGGAGGACATATTGCTATATATTCCAGACCACAGTCCTCAGGCCAGGTTAGTCTTTCCTAACCCCAGCAGAGTCCTTATTCAGTTGCTTCTTCTTGGGTCATGACAGAGTTTGTCCATGACCATGCTCTTAACTTATAGTTGAGTATTATGGTGTGTGGCCTGGCCCATTTTGATGCCATGGTTGCTCACAGCTTGCCCTGGGTCCATCCATTCCCTCATCAGGACCCTACTTTTGGAAACTAAGGGCAACTGAGACTTAAGTCAAGTAAATATGGGTGCCCAGAAGTAAATAGTATTTTGGAGTCAATTAACTCCCATGATACAAGGCATAGCATGAACTGTCTTCCTGTGTCTATACAAACAGGACATTGCTAAATACATCATGCAAATGACATAAAGGAAAGAGAAAAAGCAATATAGGATTATTGGTGCCTCATGGAATTGGGTGTGCCTCAGGGGCACTGTTGTGGGAGTAACTCAATAAAACTAAGCTCCCTGTGGGAGGAGCAGGGGTAGCCCAATGTTATCCAACTGTGGGTGGCTGAGGGGTAGTTGTTGGGCCACATCCTGCAGTTCCTGGCCTGGCCCTGGCTCACAGAATCAGGTGAGTTCATTAAAGACAGTGCCAAATGACTGTTTGCATGTGTCTACAGCCCCTAGAGGACCTTTATTGCTCCTTTTTTTTTTTTATTTTCTCTTTGGCACTAATGTGTTAAAAGAATCTTTCTCTGCTTCGTCTACCCCCATAGAGTCCTCACAGCCCGCAATGTGCTCCAGTCCCACCTGCTCCTCATACCTGCCCTTCCACCTGCTGTCCTTTCCAGGTGACCCAGGCAGCAGTCCTGGATCACTCAACTCGGCCCACCCTCTTGGTCCTCTGTTTTACTCTCCAAGTGCCAAGCACCTGTCACATCTTCCCTTCCCACTCTGCTCCCTCCCCTTGTCCAATCCCACCCCACTATCACTGTCAATGTCCCTTTGCCGTTTATGACTCTTGTGTCATTAGACGTGCTCTGTGTCATCTGTCCACAGTGACCTGTGTTTGCATTCCTTAAACTGATTTCCCTTGGCGGTGGGCATTTCTTTGTGGGGATTGGAATCAAACTCATACAACAGGAGGCTGCTTCCAACCCTGCCCTGTCCTTGTGGTGGCTACCATCAGCCGCCTGATGGCAGACCTGCCGGGCCCCTTGGCAGCACCTCTGACACCCATCCCTTTATCTGGCCCATTATTCCTGGAAAGAATGCCGGACTCCACTTCTGTCTCTCTGTCCTCACTGCTGCCGACATCCTCAGGCTCTCTGCTTCACATAGACCACATGGAAGTCACTTTTATATCCCTGAGTGTGGCACAAAGCCTGGCTCAGTAGCTTCCAGGGTGTTTATTGGCTGTGCATCTTGTTAGTCCACTTCCGGAGCCTCCCAGGAAGGACTCCTCTGTCCCCCCCTCTCTTTCTTTCTTCTCCACACTAGACCAATTGTCTTTCTTATAATAGCAGCAGCAGTAGCAAAAGCTCCAACCTGTTACACCGTTTAAAAATGTGTTGGTTTCTTCTTGTTTCAGGGTAAAATTCAGATTGTTCCTATTGTGCAAAATTTCTTGAGGGGAGATTGTTTGTTTTGTTTTTGTTTTGGGGCCACACCTGGGGTGCTCAGGAGCTACCCCTCTGTGTGCAGGGGTCACTCCTGGTGATGTTTGGTGGACTATATGCTATGCTGGGCACTGAACTGGGGTCATCTGCATGCAAGGCAAGCACCTGAACCCATCTCTGTCTCACGTCCTTCCTATAGGTAATGGGTTCTCTCTCTCCATCTCCATAGTGCCTCTTACAGTATCGCCCAATTCTGTCTTCCCAGTGGGTTGTACTCCATTAACCTTATTGCCCTTCTTTCACCAAACCACAGTACTCTACATCTCTTTACCTTCCATCTCAGGCAAGTTCACTCGGATTACTCTTTCCAAAATCTCAACTGTAAAAATGGGTACTCATGGCGCAATCATTTCTCATGGGTTGCCCTGCAGATCACAAGCTAATTCACATGTCTCAGAATGGGAACATGGTTGTTATTGCTTGTTCTGGCTCCCCTTCTCCTCTTCCTGAAAGCCCACTTTCGTCATTCAGCACTTGGATCAGATCCCATCCTACCTCTGAGGCCTGCCTCAGTTTCTCTACTGAGTCCGCCATTCTGTCCTTCTGTTTTCCTAAATATTAAAGACCAATTTTAGTCTCTGTCTTGCAAATCCTGTCCATATCCTTCAGCTCCTGGCAAGGCAGGTTGGTTGGAGGAGTTTCATTATATGTCTATTCACTGAATATGCTGTAGATAGATAATTGCAGAGCATTGTATTCAGAGAACAAAAGAGGATTTATTTTTGTTTGTGGATCACACCCAGTGGTGCTCAGGGTCTAACTCCTGGCTCTTTCTTCAGGGATCACTCCTGGCAGAGCTCAGGGGACCATCTGGGGTACTGGGATATAATCCAGGCAAGCACCGTGCTCTCTATTATGACTCCAGTTCCCAACAAAAGAGGGTTTCTAATTAGGGAGCTCAAGATTTGGTTTCAGCCTAATAGGATCAGAAAATAAATTCCCTTCAGGCAGTTCAAGACTTAAGAGTTGGCTTCTCATTAAGGAAAAAATAAAGTTAAAAAGTGACATGGTTCTGAATTGTATTGTCGCTACGATGAAAACTACAAAGTTTCATCAATTTACCTTTGATTCTTTTTACATATGTGTGCAAATCTTGATTTCTATACTTAGCAAGGATTTCAGAGGGTACTGTATGATTCTAGGTGACTGGCTGACGGGAGTGAATAAAACATACATGGTTTGTTCCTTTGACAATTTATATTGTGCCTCTAGTGAAAGGACTGGTACTTTCATTGGCACCTTAATCATACAACTTAATCATACAACTTATCAGGAATATTTTTGTTTGCTATTCTTTTATTTTGGAGGTGATCTGGCTCTACTCCAGGGCCACTCTGGTTCTGCTTTAGGGTCACTCCCAGCAATGCTTGGGGGGACCATCCAGTGCTGGACATTGAACCAAGGTCAGCTACTACAAGACAAGTGCCTTAACTCCTATACTATCTCTCTGGCCCCTGTTTTCTGTTCTTAATCTTCAAAATAAAATTAATCAAATTTGTCAGCTGCTCTGCCAGGTCAGAGTGATATCTCGATGTTTTTGTTTATATACTTCCAAACCTATACTTAAATTTTCACCCCAACTTCCCCTTTTGGCTCTTTTCACTGTCTTTTCTTCCTCATTCCCACAGAAACTTTCTAACTGCCTCTTTCTCTCCATCCTATTTTCTGTCTCCGCCTATACACTAACTCCGCTATGATCAAGTTACTTCTTACAGCCTTTGGAATAATTTCAGAAGGTCTTAAGTTCTCCCCCTCTAGCTCACACTCAGCTTTCTCACCTCACCTGATGCTTCACAATGAAAGGGTTTTTGATATTTGGTCTTCCTTTCCTTTTCATGTTCCTCCTCTTTCTCTGCTCCAAAAAAAACCATCATCTACTGCAGACTCAACTCAAGTGACCCCCTTCTTCCATCGCAGTTTAATCCTGCCTTGTGTTACCATAGAGCTTTGATCCTGTCTCTGTTAGACTTCATCTCAGTTCATTAGAGAGAAAAGATGCTAAAAGATTTATCTTTTCCATTAGACTATATTCATGGCATCAAAGCAGTTTCTGACTGGGCCAGGGAGTTAGCTACAGCACATGTATGAGGCCCTGAGTTCAATCCTACATATTTCATGTCTTGTTCTTGTATTTTAGATTTAGCCCTGATATTCTTGGTACACCCCCAGTCATTACCTACTCCAAAAAATAATCTCATATAAATCTGTAATCAGGAAGGGTCACTGTCACTGTCACTGTCACTGTCCTTCTATTGTTCATCGATTTGCTCGAGAGGGTCCAGGAACATTGTGAGACTTGTTACTGTGTTTGGCATATCGAATACATCACGGAGAGCTTTCCAGGCTTTGCCGAGCGGGCGAGATACTCTCAGTAGCTTGTCGGGCTCTCCGAGAGGGGTGGAGGAATTGAATCTGGCTCGACTGGACTTGCTGCATGCAAGGCAAACGCCTTACTGCTGTGCTATCACTCCAGCCCATCAGGAAGGGCAAGCCCTTTTTTCCAAAGACAGGAAGAAAGAAATTATGTTCAGTAGAAACTTGAAAGTCTGGAAGGGGCCCTAAAAATGTCAACTTGGTTCTCTGACCACCATTAGCATTAGCAGGATACTGTTAGCAAGCCGTCACTCAGATGTCACTGCAGCTTCTGGAGTTGGCATCTAGCAAGATCCCCGGGTGACTGGCACACAGGCTCAGGCTTGAGGAGCAGAGATGGGGCAGCTCCAAATCTGCTTGCCAGCAGATGGGCTGCACACTCCCTCCTGGGTCCCCCAAGTGTGTGGAGGTCACAATGGGACTGAGAAGCCCTGGAAGTGGAAGGTGAGTTCAGCAGCTGAGAGACAAGGGCACCTCGAAGCTACACTTGATCCAACATTCAGGCAGCACCTCCTGCTTTTTTGTTTTCAGCCTGACATTGCACCACATTTCAGTTCTCTCCTGGGAGCAGAAAAGATAGTGCCAGGGTTAAGGCACTTGCATGGTGCGAGTCTGACCCAGTTCCCTCCTGGATACCATGTGGGCCTCTGCGTGGCGCCAGGAGAAATTCCAGAGCACAGAGCTTGCAAGTAATCCCTGAATACCATTTGATGTGCCCTCCTAGCTGGAGCAATAGCACAGCGGTAGGACGTTTGCCTTACAAGCGGCCAACATGGCTGACCCGAGTTCGATTCCTCTGCCCTTCTCAAAGAGCCTGGCAAGCTACCGAGAGTATCTCGCCCGCACGGCAGAGCCTGGCAAGGTACCCATGACATATTCAATATGCCAAACACAGTAACAACAAGTCTCATGATGGAGACGTTACTGGGCCCGCTTGAGCAAATCGATGAACAATGGGAGGACCGTGACCGTGCCCACCTAATCAACAAAATAAAAAAAGAATAAAGAATTGAATGACTCAGACTTATTTTCTTTCTCCTTTTTAGGTCTTTTGATGGATTCTCTAGTGCCCAAAAGAATCAAGAACAACTTCTGACTTTAGCAAGCATTTTGAGGGAAGAAGGAAAAGTTTTCGACGAAAAGGTTTACTACACTGCAGGCTACAACAGTCCTTTCAAATTGCTTAACAGAAAGAATGAAGTGTGGCTGATCCAGAAAAGTGAACCCTCCCCCTCGGAGGAAAATGAATGAGAAAATGAAAGGTTCCATCGCAGAAGCTGAGCTTAATAGAGACATCAGCCTACCTAGATGTAAAGTGTATGTTTAGTCCCTCTACCTGAACGCGCTGCTATGAATTAAGCTTGTTTCCAATGTGCCTTGGAATGCTGGATGCTTTATCTAGATACACATATCAGGACAATATTAGTAAGTTGTTTTAATTGTTTTAATTGTTTTAATTTCTGTCCTATATCTCTCCCCCTGATTATGTGGGTTCTTTTAGGGAAAAAGGAAGGTCCACACCTAGCTGTGCTCAGGGCTTATTCCTGATTCTGTGCTCAGGGTACCATATGTGGGTTAAATCAGGATCAGCCACATGCTTGGCTACTCTCTGGTGTGATGTTTTTTAACTGCCCCCAAAATAATTTACTTAAACTCAGTGCATTCATCCATTCCTTGCTAGCAATCACTTCACTCCCTAAAACTTTTGCTTTTTCCTCACTGGTTTTCATTAACTTGGAATATCTGATAATTATGTTCCGGGCACAATTATAGTGTTCTGGGGGCTAAAAAACTGGTGGGGAGAAGAAATATATCTTTAGATATCATAATCATCAAATCAAACATTGCCTTTTTTCAGTTCTATTTAATCTACCTCCTCCTGAGAATGCAGCCGAGGGCAGAATGGACCAGGTCCCCATCAGAGTTTACATTCTGGAGAAGAGAGCTTGAATACAATAAAATGGGGGCTTGGAGCATGGCTGGACAGAATGTGTTGGACATCAAAGGAGGGGATCAGGAAAGGCCTCTCAGAGGAAGAGTCATTAGAGTTAGAAAATGAGAAAAAACCAGTCAGTTGAAAGCCCGAGGGTGGGCTAAGACAGGAACTAGAACCTGTCCCATTTGCAGAGCTAGAGAGCTGTGCCATGGGACCCAGCCACTGGGCAAACCTGCTGACTTCCCAGGTCTTGGAATAATAGAGTTCAACCAGGAGCAAATTAAATTGCGTGGGAACTGAAAGACATTTCCACTGTCAAAGCTCAGGTACCAGAGAGGCCTATCCTGGTTAGCAGGATCTAAGCATCAGGGTTAGGAACATATGTATCTTGCATGTGGCAGATCCTGGCTTGAGCCCCCAATACCACATATGGTCCCCTAAGAGTCACCAGCGGTCACTTCTGAGCACAGAGCCAGAAATAGCCCTTGAACATTCTTGGTGTGGTTAAAATCACTGTCACTGTATCACTATCATCCTGTTGTTCATCGAATTACTCAAGTGGGCACCAGTAATATCTCCATTTGTCCCAGCCCTGAGATTTTAGCAGCCTCTCCTTACTTGTCTTTCTTAGCACGTGGCTAAAATAATAATAATAATAATAAGGCTAAAATAATAATAATAAATAATAATAATAATAATAAGAAGAAGATATCTAGTTTAGCAGTCAGTTTATGGATATAAATTTGTAAACTTTGCCCAAATAACAGAAATATCTTTTCTGGGATTTGGAGATGAGGTAGCCAGCACAGGGAAATATGTCCACTCAGAGCACCTTCAGATAAGTACCAGTTGCCCAGCTGCTAAGAGTATAGTTAACTGACAGCTCCAGCTGTGACTTTCTTTAAAGTCTACTGGAGATGTCAAGAGCATACTCTTCTCAGGAACGAGCTAGCCTATGACTACGCAAGGCACTGGAAACTGATGGCATGCATTTTTCTGGCATCTTCCAGTCAAAGACTGACTAAAATGACGATACAAAAGCATAGCCAGTTTTGACTGCTTTGGGGCTGTCCTTATGAGCATTCTTCTCCCCGGGATTCCTGGTGAGTAGGCAGTGGCTTTCTCTGGACATTCTGACAACTCTGGGGTCCAACTCGGGTCTTGCTTTCTTTCCCTTTTGTCTCTCAAAAGAGTCACTTTCCATACATCTTTTGTGCTCCATCTCAGCATCAACCAGCAGAGTTGTGTGACCCCCAAATCACAGTGTTTTGGAACTACACAGCATTTTGGAACTAACTTCGAAGAAAGTCCCTTCATTACATTTCACCTACATTTTTCTACTTAGGAGTCCTTCAGCCTTTATTAACCTTTGATGCACTTAATTCACATGTGGACATCCCAGGTTCTACCCCCCATCTCACCACCACATCTGGTCCCCAGAACTGCCAGGAGTGATCACTAAGCTCAGAGCCAGGAGTGAGCCCTAAGCACCGCCACATGTGGCCCCAAAACAAAAATCTAAACCAAACAATAACAAACAAAACCATGAGATGAGAGTAACTAAACAGATTATTCCAGAACTTCCCTTAAGGACCAGGTCTATGTTATTCGAAAGGCCCTCCCTTGCCCCCTAACAATCTCCTAATATCTGCCAAAGTCAGTTAACCCCCTGTATACATTTCATGATAACATCTCAGCAAAATTCACACCCCACTACTGATACACTGAAAACAGTAAAACAGAACCCACCAAAGCGCCTCCTGGGCCTCTCCTGAACACCTGCCTTAGTGTTGGTGGGAATGCTGAAGGACAGAGATTTTTTTTTTTTGTTCTTCTTTGTGATTTCCCAAAGAAATGTATCCAGTCGGTTCTCTGTATCCAGCAGTTCCACATCCTTGACCTCAACCAGGCTCAGGTGAAAAACATCTACTGTGTTCTTTGGCCTAGTTGTGAGGGTTGGTTCTGTATTGAATATATGTAGACTTTTTCTTCTCGTCATGTCCTCCTAGAATACAACAACCATTGACAGAGCATCTGCATTGTATTAGGAGTGACAAGTAATCTGGAGATGATTAAAATATATGGGAGGATGTGTGTTCTATGCAAATTCCATGCCATTTTATAGAAGGGACTTGAGCGTCCTTGGACGTTGGTTTTTGCAAAGCTCCTAAAACCAATTCCCTGAATACCAAGCAGAGACACCAAGCACTAGCAGTCCCTTCATCTATACTCCCCTTCTTCCCGGCCCCTCCCCCATGAGAAGCAGTGGTTTCTTTGGGAGGGGCGCACACCCAGTGGCGCTCAGAGGACCATGTGTGGTGCCAGGGATCAAACCAGGTTCAACCACGTGAAAGGTAAGTGTCTTAACCCCGGTACTATCTCTATAACCCTGAGTAGCAACACATTGGATTAACACTCTTCAGAAACAGAAGAGCGGAAATGAGACTACCTTTGAGGCTGCTTCCACCAGATAGACTAAAATGTTTTTTTCCTCCCAACTTTACTTTTATGTGGTGACTCTCTGCTCCAGAGTGACCCCCAGCATTGCCTGAGGGAGCATATGTAGTGTTAAGGGTTTGAACTGTGGAATGCAGATGATTCTATCTCTGGAACCTTCTTTCCAAGTTTTTTTTCTCCCCCCCCTAGGGATGAGTAGCAGCAGGGGAAATGAAAATTATTTAGCTCTGGGTTTGGGTATTCAGCCTTCATCTTCATATTCAGTCTTGGGATTTGGAGAGGGTTATCAAGACTACCCTAGATATGTGTTTTAAATACTATAGAGTCTGTCTTTGGGAGCCAATTCCCAGAGAGGACAGATTAGCCAAGCTAATGATGTCATGAGTTTAGATTGCTATTTTCTGATATCATACCCTTGCCTGTGAAAAGTTCTCCCAACTTTCCACAAACCATCTTGTAAATTAGCAGTCAGTGCCTTACTGGAATTTTATTCCAAAAATTTTAGGACTTTGTTTAGAGCTGTTTTTCCATAGAATCTTTACACGGAACCATCCGGTGTCAGCGATGTTCTTGCTCCTTTCTGTTGGATTCCCACCGCCCACAGACGCCTCCTGGTCTCCTCTGCTGTTCTGTTGGTATCCAGCAAAGCCCCCAACAGTTCTGGATGAGAAGCCCTAGCTCCTTACTTAAAAATGCATGTACATGGTGATGGCTTAGTACCTGTATTTCAAACCGTAACACCCCAAATGAGAGAGAGAGTAAGAGGGAATGTGCCTGCCACAAGAGGCAGGGGGTGGATAGGGATGGGGGTAGCAGGAGGGATACTGGGAACATTGGTGGAGGGATGGGTACTCAAACATTGTATGACTGAAATGTAATCATGAAAGTTTGTAAGTCTGTAACTGTATCTCATGGTGATTCATTAAAATAAAATTTTAAAAATGCACATACAAACAAAACAAAATAAGGTTTAGGTATTTATAACTTTTTATTCAAAGCAAATTTAAAAACCGTATATTTCTTTTCCTGTAAAAAGGGGGATTTAAAAAATAGTTATAGAATTAGTCTTGATGTTGCTTATCTTCCCTTCAACACAAGTTATTTATATATTAAAATTTTCTGAGCTCCACATACATTCTAATCTCCTTTAGGGAGGCATGAGAAGATTTCCTATCCAAAATTAACATCACTTCTCTAGAATTTAAAAGAAAAGATTCTTAAGCCCAGTGTAGACAGTAGACAGTTGGTCCATATGGTACAAAGTTCTTCTTTCCTTTGGCCAAATAACAGGTCGTGATTCTGAAGGTGTGAAAAGAAGTGCTTTGTTTTCTTCAGAAGGGAAGGAAACTTAATTCATTAGGGTTATTATTTTTTAAATCTTAAAGGCATATCACAAAGGGGGAAACTATGTACATCTATACCTCATTGATTAGAATATTCTCTGAGAAATATATCATTATTTCACTACTAAGTGAAGAGCTTGAGTGGACTTCAACCTAATAGTGTTGCCTACCACACACCTGGGCCATCATAGACACTGACCAAAGTGTCAGTACATGGCACATGGCGGTATAAAACCTGATGATATGGCTGATGCAGCCCAACTTTCAGATGTTTCCATGCCAAAAATGATGACAATAGGCAATGTCACTGCATTAAGCCAAGAATCTCAGGACTGTCATCTTAAATTCTTCTAAAGAAGACAACAAGACTGATTTTATTTAACCAATAAATAAAGTATATAGCAGTTGGAAAGAGTGGGGGAAGCAATCAGAAAACTATGACATTAAAATAAATACACAGTCCCACCCTCTGTGTCTAAAACCGTTAATGTCCTAACAGGAGATTTAGAGGTTAATTCGCCAATTCAATTGTTTATTAAAAAATGTATAAAAACACACAAACAAAATGATGCAAAAAGTTCTTTTTAATCTAAAAATCATCCCAGGGCCAATTAATCACTGAGCCCTTCCAATTTTTTTTAAATCAGTTTATTTGACTAACAAGAACTATTCAGCATTTTTCTTCCAAATGAGATAACACAGAATAGATTTTGATAAACCTTTCTAAGTGAGGACACGGTACTGTAGGCAGTCGAAGAAAAATTGCCATCACTTTTTCTTTGGTGTAATCGAAAAGATATCCAAAAGTTAGCAAATGTTGACATTTCAAGTGGTAAGAAATTGCCAAATGGAAGTTTAAACTCTGGTTTAAAAAAAAAAAAGAAAAAGAAACGCAAAAGAAAAAAACGCCACCCACAGTTCTGTAGTGCAAGTCTTCAAATTTAATTCTGAAAAATAACTTTTATTTAATTAGCAGGAAACCAATTCCAGCAGTAGATCTCTACCTCTTCTCCCCTCTCTCCACTCCCGCCTCCTGTGTGTCCGTGTGCATTCCAGCTCTCCACCAAGGCCTCAGCTGCTGCCCAGGGAGGAAATTCATTCACAAATTACCCCACATTTCCTAAAAATCAGGCTAAACGTTGTGTGTCTGTACAACACTGCAGCAGGCTCTGAGAGACGGTGCAGCAGCGTTGCCAACCGCCATGGTTTTTTGTCTTTTTTTTCGAAAAAAAGAAACAAAGACTCCCCCCCTCCCAACCCCCCCAAAAAAGTACCTGAACCGATTAGTCACTTAGCCCTTTCCCCAAGTTTTGGGTTAACCATGACATGGCTCACCTTGAAGCACCCTTGTGTTCAGAGCGGTCAGAACAGCAAACCTACCAGCTCTTGCTTAGAAGAAACGGCCTTCTCCCTTTTTCTGGAACTCTCTAATTTCCAAGAACAGAAGCAATGACCACCCAGTCTGGACACCTCCATTTACTCTTAATTAGCTTAACTTCGTCTTTCTATATTCACACATAGCGTTTGTGTGTGTTGTGTGTGTGTGTGTGTGTTTTAACACAGAGATACACTGTGTTTTATAACACCAAGAAGCATTTAAAAATGCGCACACACAAACTCATCCCTACACATACACTACCCGTACACAAAACCCTACACACACACTCAACCCTACACACACACACAATCGCCCCAACACAAAAATCCTACACACACATACTCATCTCTACACACACACACTCCTCCCTATACACACAGACACACTCACCCCAACACAAAATCCTACACACATACTCATCCCTATACACACACATACACACACTCACCCCAACACAAAAATCCTACACACACACACACACACACCCCTACACACATGAACACACATACCTAGCACTAAGCCAAAGAAAAATGAGAGGAAAAAAAAAATTCTTCCCCAGGAAGCACTTTCAGAAGTTAAGCTTCTACTTACTCGCTTTTAAGCCACAGGGCAAATGCCAAGTGAGTGCTAACCATCCCTCTTCCGCTCTGCAGACAGCCTTGCCCAGAGGCTGGCACCAAGGCTGGGGGTGTGGGGGGGGGACCCAGGGCAAACCCAGGCAGATGACCAGCTGGGCTTCCCCCACAGAGCCGCGTGCTGCTTTCTCCCCCAGGTCTGCTGGGGGGTGGCTGCGGGCTCTGGCCCCTAACTGTCCTCCCACCGCGATCCCCTGGCCTGTTCCGCCGGCTCCTTGCCCTGGCCACCCGCTGGCCCTTGGGCAGGGCTCTGCGCCGTCTGCGCCCACAGCGTTGCACCAGGCTCCCCAGCCCCCAGCGCGCTGCCCTGGTCCCTTTCAACACTGTCCAGGCCCTCCAGCGAGCATCCCCTGGCAGTGCCCGCGGTGGGCTCCGGGGCCTCGCCCTCGCCTTCCGAGATGACAGTCATGGGGCTGCTCTGGATGCGGTGGCGCATGCTGTAGCGGCTGCTGGCGGCCGACGGCGGAGTCCGGCTACGGCCGTACCTGGGGCCGGAGAAGGACAGGCTCCGGGGCATCAGGCCTTCGTTCCTGGCCCACTCCTCCTGGGCACGGCGGTTCTTGCTCGGGGAGCAGCTCGACGGGCTCTCGGGCGCGTCGGGCGCCGGCTCCGACCTGGACCGCTGGAACCTGGGGTCCGTGCTCTTGAGCATCTCGGCCGCCGACATGCGCGCGCTGGTGTCGGCGCGACTCCCCTTCCTCAGCAGCAGCGCTTTGAAGTTGTCGCTGCTCGTGCTGCTCTTGCGGACGCTTCTCTGGATGGACCCCACTTGTTTCGGGGAGGCCAGGCTGGGGCCGGCGCCCGTGGGTGTCACGGGCGGGGAGGGCGAGTGGTTGCGGGTGTGATCGTCATCCGAATCTTTGCGGCCCAGGACTTTCCGCTTGGATCTGAGATGGGAGGGCACGGAGGACGGTTAATAACCCAAGCAAGCAGCTCGTTGCCCCCATGCATCTCTGCTAATGCTTTTCTTTACCAGTTGTTTCTAAAACACTGATTTTCTTTCTTTCTTTAAAACTATGGAAACTTACAAAGACCCGTGCAAAACCCCCAAAGAACAACAACAACAACAAAAACCCAAACAAACAAAAACAAAAGAGCCAACAAAAAACAAAACGATGGTTGTCTGCTACTTGAAGTCGCAAATCAGTTCTACCTGTGGGTCCACCTGGCATCTCCTGCCTCAGTGGATTACCTGAAACAAATGGCTCCACACTAACTTTGGACAGGGACTTTTCCTACGGTTTATTTTCTTCCTCCTGTCAGGGACCCAGGTCACACACATGCATAGTTACCTCTAAGCCACAATCTGGGCCCTCCCAAATCGCTATTTTTCACAGAATTCCTCTAAAGTGAACTCCCCATGGGGCTGGAGTAATAGCACAGCGGGTAGGGCATTTGCCTTGCATGAGGCCGACCCGGGTTCGATTCCCAGCATCCCTTATGGTCCCCTGAGCACTGCCAGGGGTGATTCCTGAGTGCAGAGCCAGGAGTACCCACTGTGTATCGCCGGGTGTGACCCAAAAAGAAAAAAAAATTAAATAAAGTCAACTGCCCATGAATGAACTGTTGAGGGCTGGCCATCATTTCTTTCTGTTCATCCTCCTTTTTCTAAAAAAAAAAAACTTTTGTTTTTCAGACCACATCCAGCTCTATTCCCAGCTTACTCCTGGATCCGTGCTCTGGGGTCACTCCTGCCAAGGATCAGGGGACCATATGCAGTTGCAGAGTATTTCACTGGGGTAGGGGCAGGGGTTCAGTAGAGGGAGTATTCTAGAGGTTGGCTTACCTGGTAGGCTGGTTCAAGGGCCAGCTACAACTAGAAAGAGGAAGACTTGGGGATACGGAGACTACAGTGGGGAAGATGTTTGCCACTCCACCCTGTGCTCTCACTGGAGCAGAAATCAGCTCCTAGAAATCTAGTTTTCTCCAACTAAGACTGAACCTCCTGCACCTGCAGATCCTTTAAAAAAACATGGAACTAGTTGAGAAAACATGAAGGAAGCAGGTGCAGATGATGACGAGGGGCCTTGGTTGCGGGGGAGGGGGAAGTTAGAACTTTCCTGAGGGTATTGCCAGACCCAGTCTCTCAGAAGGGTCCTGTTGCCCAGCTTCTCTCCCGAGAGTGAAGCAGAGATAACAAAGGTGCCTGTTGCAGGGGACATAGCAGAGTGAGGAAGAGCCCAGCTGAGTGCAAGGAAATGCCTCACATTTAATATCAGAGACGTGGGGGCTGAAGAGACAGTACCATTGTCAAGCCCCTTGTCATGCGTGTGGCTGACCTAGTGTGATCCCCCGCACCACATGGTCTTCTGAGTGTGGCTGAGAGTGACTTTGAGCACTGTGGGCCAACAGTAGGCCACGGAACCGTCAGGCGTGGCCTGTTCCCCAAAGAAATAACACAGATGTATGGGATGTTTCTTTTTCTGCTGAAAAATGCTGGGATATGTAGAGGGAAAGGATGACTGATATTGTACAGATAGGGTTGAGAGTGGAGCCCGTAGGGGCTGGGATGGAGCTCAGCCCCTATGGCAAAGCACTTGGCATGCATTTGTGAGGCTGTGGGAGGGAGAGGTAGAGAGAAAACACACACACACACACACACACACACACACACACACACACAGAATATAGAATTTTCCTTCCCACCACCATGCCAGTCTTTAGTGTGTCTTTACACATGGTCTTTCAACACAGAAAGCTCTCAAGTTTCCCTACATGCTTCTTGTCAAAAAAAAAAAAAAGCCACCAAAGCAACAGAGGAGAAATGAAGAAATGATAAGGGCCCAGAACAGTGTCTGAAGACTGCACGTGAGGATAGAGAAGGGACCAGTGTGACAATGATAGTTGGAAATGAAATGATCACTTTGGACAAGAGCTGGGTGCTGAAAATAGGTAAAGGGATATACATGAAAAACTTTCAGTATTTGTATTGCAAACCATAATGCTCAAAAGGAGAGAGAGAGAGGCAGAGAGAGAGGGGGAGAGGGAGGGAGGGAGGGGGGGAGAGAGAGAGAGAGAGAGAGAGAGAGAGAGAGAGAGAGAGAGAGAGAGAGAGAGAACACCTGTGGTCTTGGGTACAATGATTTGCTCAGTACTCAACAAGGGCAATATAATATTCTGGGTTAACTCAACGGCCAAATGGTGCTAAACTCACAGAAATAACAGCAGCTCAACATTTATGAGCTGGTAAAGATTTCTGATGGGCCAGTGTGATCACACATATTTCAAAGAAAATAACTGAGGTGGAGAAAGTGAAACTTTGCCAGAGAGGACTTGGGGGTGGTGAGGAGACATCTTTCTGCGCAGTGACAGCTCAAGAGCCCTACCCATTGGTCTACTTCTCTGGCCCTGGCCTTTATTCATGGCATTTCGTGAACCCCGGAGCACCACCAGGAGCAACCCCTAAGTATCAAGTCGGGAGTAGCCCCTAAGCACTGCCAAGTCTGATTCCAGATCCAAAAATAAATAAATAAGTACATACTTAATTTGTTTTTAAGGTCGAAACAAAGGAAAGCTAGTCATTATAAATAAATACAATTTTTAAACAGCATGGCCTTTTGTTGTAAATTGAGAATTGAGACAAGTGATGGTATTTTATAGAAGTATTATAGAACAACTATGCCCTAAGATAAGAAGCAAACACAAGAAAAAGTCTCCGCAAATATGTAAGTGCATGTGTGTGTGTGTGTGTGTCTGTACATGTATTTCTAATGAAGGTGGCTATAAAAAGGCCTTAAACAGTTAACACTAGCTTAAAAATGAATTACTTCAATAAACACAAAAACTTCACACCTCAACTGGTGTTCTACATTTCCCATCTGGCTTTAAATCTAAAGTGACCTAATTTGCATTATGATCTTTTATATTTTGGTTTAGATAATTTTCCTTTAAAATTATTAGCTTAGATGCTCAACGATGCCAAAGCCAAAGCCCTAAAAATCACAGAGGGTAGATGGCTCTTTAAATGATACATGCCACTAGGTTAATGAAGCGAAACAGAAACCAACATGTGGGGCTGGAGCGATAGCACAGTGGGTAGGGCGTTTGCCTTGCATGCGGCCAACCTGGGTTCAATTCCCAGCATCTCATATGGTCGCCTGAGCACCACCAGGAGTAATTTCTGAGTGCAGAGCCAGGAGGAGTAAACCCTGTGCATAGCTGGGTATGTTCCAAAAAGCCCCCCCCCCCCCAAAAAAGAAAAAGAACAAAAAGAAAAACCAACATGCATCTTTGCTTTCCCTTCACCATCCACAGCCTACTCAAGACTTCTGCCAGGCGCTCACAAAACAACAGACTGATCAATTTCTACATCTGCAGTAAATAGAACTCTTTAATAGGAGAAACCACAAAGATGTCAGTGCCTTATGAAAGCTGCTAAATTAAAATAAAGTACAGGGTAGAACTTTGCCATCTTTTTAGGAGAAGCACATAGTGAGTTGTGCCTCCAGCAGCCGGCCTTCCATTGAGACCAGACACTGACCTCTCAGAAGCAGGCATGCAGGCTGTCCGTGGGCTGCTGTTCTAAACAGAAAGGCCTGCGAATCTAGCAACACAGTGTATTCCATACTACACAAAAGATGACAGGTCTTAGAAGAATTTCCTGCCACTTAAGTTCCACTTGGTTTCATTTAATTCAGAAAATATTTATTGAGTGTTTATGATGTGTCATTGGTTAAAGCTGGAAATGTGTAAACGCAAGATATGCCAGTATAGAGAATGGGTTCTAGGGCTGCTATATTTTTCATTTCCCTGCTTTGATAGATAATTTGATAACTAGCTACCTTTACACTTCTACTGCGATCAAAGAAAGCAATTCCACAATGTTAAAGGGACATCTCTTGGGAGACTACACCAATACCAGTGCCAAGAGGTAAGGAATATTTTTGTTTTTTTGGGTGCAAACCCAGAGCTTTATACATGTGAGCAAGTGATCTATCACTGAGCCATATTCCTTCACTCCGGGAACATAACTTTCGACAATTTAACTCATTGACTTGTTTTGTTCTGGGAGGAAAACAAAAAGGGCATTTATTCCGGGTAATGAAAGATTCTGGCAAAACAGGGCTGTTCGTAAGTTACACAAAAATACTGAGGCGAAGATGCTGGCAAGAAAACAGAAGGTTTATATATTCTATTATGGTTCAGAGTACTGAGAATTTTATGACACTCTAGTGAGAGCGCTCTGCTGTTTGCAATCAGAAATATGACATAACAAAGAGAACTGAAAAATAATAAAGCACACTCACTCTTCAAGAAGACGGCTTACAAAAAGTACAGCAGGGCTGGAGAGAAAAGTACAGGAATAAGGAACTTGCCTTGCAGGCAGCTGACCCTGGTTCCTGTTCTTCGATCCCTGTTCTTCCAAACACTGCCAGGTGTCAGCACTACTAGGAGTGACTCCTGAGCACAGAGCCAGGTGTAGTTCCTGAGCAGCATCAGGTGTGGCCCCAACACACCCTCCACCACAGAAATGAGAAAGCACTACAGTTCGAGGCAGCGATTCTGAAATACTTTCCCTGGTAGCACTACACTGTAGCACTGTCCACTGGTTGTTCATTGATTTGCTCGAGCGGGCACCAGTAACATCTCCATTGTGAGACTTGTTGTTACTGTTCTTGGCATATCGAATACGCCACGGGGAGCTTGCCAGGCTCTGCCATGCGGGCGGGGTACTCTCGGTAGCTTGCCGGGCTCTCCCAGGGGGATGGAAGAATTGAACCCGGGTTGGCGGCGTGCAAGGCAAACACCCTACCCGCTGTGCTGTCGCTCCAGCCTGCCCTGGTAAACCCAATGATTTCTTTATGCCAGCAGATGGCACTAGCAGCCCACAGTAATTCTTTCAGCTTAATTCTTTTGCTCCTTCTTGGAAAAGCTGTACTTTCTCATGGCAATGTGTAGGTAGTCAGAGACATTGCATTTTACTTAGTTTTCCATAACAGTAATAAATAACAGTAATAAAATAGCTAGTCCTGCAGAGAGAGTACATGCATCTTCATTCCACAGACTCAGAACATTCCTCACCAGGGACTGGTCCATAGGTAGCTTTCCATGTTTGTAAAAAACTCATAAGGTCTCCTGACAGCAAGGGCTGTGCCCAGCAGGAGTCATCTCCTTCCCCCTTCCTCATCCCCATCCTCCTAAGATTCAGAAGAATCAAGGAAAAAAACTGGAACCAGAGGAAATACAGAAACACACTGAAACATTAACAATCAAGTTGATGAATTAAAATGGAGAGAAGAAATGTCCAGAAAGAAAGTCATTTAGAAAAGGAAAGCTTGCCAAGTGCATGAGGATAGGAGGGAGCATTTGGGATACCTGTGAATCGCTGCAAAAAGGTCTTCAGTGGTCCGTGGTCTGCTAGGGGTCATCACCTCATCACTGCCTTCCTCCTTGAGGAAGTCCCCGGCGTCGGACTGAGAAGGGGCTGCTGCGAGGAGCGTCTCCGGAGTCTCTGCTAATGAGGAACCAGCAGGCAGACACAAGAGGCGAGGCGTAAGCGACTAGAATTTCAGTCTTAGCCAAGCTCCCCCATCCCCTCTCCTGCTGGCGGGCACCACCTGAGAACCTCCTGGGAGAGGCGGTGGGGTCTGTGGCTTGGTGTTTCATAATCCGGGAGGGAAATGCCACTGAGCATGAGTGCCTGAGCTCATTCTCTTCTGTTCAAGTCTGGAACTGGTACTGGACCGCCCTTCAATTTCCCTGTAACCTCTCCAGAAGGGGAATGACTCACCACCTCACTACTCACTGTCACCCGCCTGCTGCAAACACCTGTCCCTCCCCTCACCATCTAATTTCTGACCCTCCATAAACTCGACGCTTCAAGGTTTTTTTTTTTATTTTTCAAATTCATCAGGGCTGGAGCAATGGCACAGCGGATACGGTGTTTGCCTTGCACGAGGCTGACCCGGGTTCGATTCCAAGCATCCCATATGGTCCCCGAGCACCGGCAGGAGTAATTCCTGAGTGCAGAGCTAGGAGTAACCCCTGAGCATCGCTGGGTATGACTCAAAAAGAAAAAAAAAATGATCAAATGCCAAGTGCCAGGCACCGCAGGAAGCCTTGAAGCCCTGAGCATTAGCTTTAACTTAAACACACCCTCCGCCCGTTTTCCCTTAAGCTGCTGCTGCTGGGCCGGCAATGAGAGGAAGCAGAACTCACGTCCTCCATCCTGGAGCGCTGGGCGGTGCTCCACGTGCTCCTCCCCATCCGCGCTGCTCTCGGAGGAGCCCGACTCCTTCTGCCCGGGCGCTGGGCAGGCATCGGGCTGCACCATCGGGGCATTGGCTTCCACTCTGTCCGGGGAGGCAGCTCCTGCGACTCCTTCCACCAGCACCGAGCTGCTGGCACGGGTCTCATCAGAACCACCATTGTCCTCCGCCTGTGCTCTAAGGGGGCTGGACGCCCCTCTGCTCACGTTCCCCGCAGGCTGCGCCGTGCAATCTCTCGGCGGGGGCGGCACCACGAGGAACAGTTTGGGCTTCTTGGAAATGGGGGGCGGCTTCCTGCTGGGTGAAGGGCCGGGGGGCGAGTGGAGCCGAGAGGTCTCAACCCTAGCTGATGTTGCCGTGCTGCCGCCGCCGCTGTCACCGTCGTCCCCAGCGCTGCAGCTGGCCAGGCCCGGCTCGGCAGCACCATCCTGGTGACCCTGGCTCTGGCTCCTGGCAGGAGTGGAGAGCTCTGAGCTCGTCAGGGCGGCGGGCTGGCTTTCACTCTCCATTTCATTTATGCTATTTCGGGATTTCAGCAAAGCAGATGGCTTGAAATGAGGCTGGGGAGCGACCGGGGCTTGTTTTTCCTGAGATGCTGGTTCCTCGAGCGGGGCTAGCTGGGATCCCGAGTTCTTCCTCACCGGCCTCAGCTGCACCATCTGCAGCGCCTCGGTGGTGATCAGAGGCATGGGGGGCTGACTGCCCTCCTCTTTGCTCCAGGGTCGCTTGGCCGCCTCCCGGGGGGATTCTGGACGGCTCGGCCTTCTGAAAGCAGGCCTGCTGTCTTTCATCAATTGGGGGTCCAGGGGTGGGGCTGGCGGGGGAAGTGGCCCTGGGGCGGAAGATTCCAGAAGAGGGGGGCTCAGGGCGGTGGGGGGAGGAGGAAAGCAGGAATCTGGGGGGGAACAGAGTGGGGCGAGCAATTCTGGGGGTGGCGGGGGGAAGTGGGCGGAGGGGGCCGCAGGAGAGCCTTCGTGGGCAGGGGCTAGGAGAGGGGACTTGTCCGTAGGGCTGGGGGACGAGAGGCCAGGGAGAGGGGGCGCGGCCTCTGATTTCTTGGGCCCCCCAGCACCTTCGGTGGAGGTATTGGAAGAGAGGGAGGTGGACGAGGAGGAGATGGACATCGAGGAGATCAGGGAGGATTTCCTCTCGGGCACCTTGGGCTTGCTCTTGCCCTTCTCGTGGGCTGGTGACATGGACTTTAAGAACACAGGCACAGGGGTGAGGGCGGTGGGCGTGTTCGACTGGCTGGAATACCCACTGGACGGAGAGGTGACCCGGTGCGACTTCTCGGGCGACGGGATCTTTGGTTTGGCCGAGCCCCCGGGTCCCTGGCCCAGCGCCGCCGCGGCGGCAGCAGCGGCGGCGGCGGCCCGAGCCTCGGCGTGCCCAGGGCGCGTGGGCCCGTTGCCCGCGCTGCCGCCGCTGGGGTGGCCAGACTGGCCCGGGTCTTCCTGCACGCCCGTGTAGTCGATGTAGTAGCCCCACGGGTCCGTGTACTCGGACTTGACGCTGCTGGTGTCGCTCTGCGAGGGCGTGAGCCCGCCCAGGGCGTAGACGTTGGGCGTGGTGGCGGACGTCAGGCTGCTGCCCGCGCTCAGCGTGCTCTGACTGCGTGAGCGTGGCAACCAGGGTTCCTCCAGGTCGCTGCAGGGACTGTGCGATGGCGAGCTGCCGCCCTTGCCCGCCAGGTTCAGCTGCAGCGAGTGCTGCAGCGATGCGATCAGGCTCTCGTTGAGCAGCTGCCCGTTGGGCGGGGCGCTCTTCTTGGGGGCGCGGCGGAGAGAGTCGGTCCGCGACGGGGGCAGTGGGGGCTTCTTGGCTTTCTTCAGGGAGATGTGCCGGGAGAGGGTCTTGTCCAAGTAAACGGGCCCATCCCCTGGGCTCTTGGGGGCCCGCCCGTCGAAGATGCTCCCCACGCTGTGCCTGGGGTCCCCAAAGCCGTTGTTGCTATGGCAGAGATTCCCAGAACCGTGGGCCGCAGCGTAAGAGGCATCCTGGTCCTCGGAGTACAGGGACCTGGCATCCTCCCGCTGCGACGCCTGGTCCAAGCTGCAGCTGCTCACGGTGCTGGTGGGCGTGGAGTGACCCGGACTGGCCAGCGGTGGCTTCAGCGGGGACACCCTCCCGTTGGCGGTGGTGCTGCACTCCCAGGGCTTGGCACTGGCCTGGCTCCGGCCTCCCGTGGCACTGGACTCGCTCTTGCCATCCTCCTCGGCGGGGTGGGCAGGGAAGCTCAGCTTGTTTTTGCACGGATAGGCCGGTGCTCCGGGCGGGCCCCCGTTCTCCCCCTGGGCTGGTGCACTGAGAGAGTCGGCGGAGTCACCGAGGGACAGGAGTGTGGGTGTGCAAGGGGAGCGGGGCGCGCAGGCCTGAGCAGGACTGGCGGGGTGGTGACCCCGGGCCCAGTGGCCGCTGGGCGAGCGGGGTGCATCTCGGCTCCCGTGCCGGGACAGCGCGTGGTCTCGGGGCCTCATCTTGCTGTACGAGGCGCAGCCGCCGAGTTTCCCCTCCGACTGCCCTGGGCTCTGAGCGGTGTGAATGACGATGACCTCCGAGGAGGAGGACAGCGTGGCATTGGGGATGAGGCTGGTGGTGTAGGTGGCGTGTGGCGAAACCACGCACGCGGGGCTGGTGACCACGTCACTCTCCAGGAACCTCAGGTCGTGGGACCTGGGTCTCTGCAGCGCCCCGGCCCTGGGGATCCCGCCTGAATGTCCTAAGCCGTCATCTCCCCGTGGGTGGCTCCGCTCGTAGGGGCCATCTGGGCTGTCTGGGGGACCCAGGGCCCCCAGGGACTGGGCGCTGGCCCTGGCACCCGAACGGGGCAGGCTGTGGAAACCCACATCACCGCGCAGGCGTGAGGGGCACACGATACCAGCCGAGTCGCTCAGGACAGACATGTTCCCCGAGGAGCCGGACAGGTGGCCCATCTGGGCTGCGATGCCGTGGCCCCTCTGGGCCCGGATTCGTCGCATGGAAGGTGGCACGACTTTCCCTTCTTCCTCCGTCTGGCAGCTGGAGTCCCGGGTCTCCGAGCGCGGCCCCGCGGCCCGGTGACTGTCGAGCCTTCCCAGTGTGGCACAGTGGTCAGGGCTGTAGGCTGAGTGGCTGTCATCCTCGTGGCCCGCGACGGACGCTGGGGAGAAAGCAGGAGGTGGCAGGTGAGCAGGGAAAGATGAAACAGACGCGTAGTTTGGCCCCGCCGCTTCCCACGCCCATTCTAAATTCTGACCCCAAACACCCCTGCACCCAATTTCATTTGGTTTCTTTTCTCCTACAGGCACCTATGCGAGCATTTAATCAGTCATTTGTATTGCTCCTAAATGTTAGGAAAACACAACCCCCCCTCAAAAAAAAAAAAAAAAAAAACCCTTACAAACTTTGTGCACTTCTCTTCACTGTGCTTCAAATCCTCCTATAAATTCGGGGTTACCTGTGGAATTCTCCAGTACTCCCTTTGAGATCAAGGATGTCTGATGTGGAAAAGGAACTTTTTGTTTTCGTTTGTGGGCCACACCTGGCAGTGCTCAGGGCTTACCCTTACTCTGTGCTCAGGGGTCACCCCTGGTGGTGCTCAGGGAACCACCTGGGGTGCCAGGAATCCTACTGGCTGTGCTATCTCTCTAGTCCTGGAAAAGGAACTTTTCGAATGATCTTTCCTTGGTAAAGATTTCAAGGGAGCCTGACACCCATCCACTGACCTGAAGGCCACTTTCATTCCCAAAGACAAGGGTGACAATAGTTAAACATTCCCTCACCCTCACCTACCACCCAGGCTATGGAGGAAACTGGTATGAAACAGTGCTAATTATATTACTTTTTAATTTTTTTTTTTAATGTCAGAAGGAAATCCTGAGAAAAAGGAAAATGATTTACAGGCCCATCTGTGTTTCGAATGTTTCATTATCCATCTTCAGCCATTATCATCTGTGTTAGTGACATTCAAAATTCAATCGCAATCTGGTATGTTTTGGTGGGGGAGGGGAGAGCCGCAGAAGTGGATCCAGCGAACATTTCCTCAAATTAGGCTTATTCTTTTCTTGGAGCTTTACAAGCAAAGAGCAGCCTATTTTTGGGTTTTTTTTTTTTTGTAAGTTTTGTTATTTTAAAGGAGAGAGAGAAGAAAAGGGAGAGGTGAGACAAGGAGGAAAGTTCGGGAGGTTGGGAGGAAGGAGCCAAACAGGAGAACGCAGATGAGAAAATAGCTTAAGTACAGATACTAGTTTAGTTTCGAGGAAAGAAGAGATGCTTAAAAAAAAATCATGAAGCCCAGAACTTACCCAAAGTCTACTGAAGAAAAATATCAATCCACACACAGAAATCATTAGGATTCTTAGGACATACTCAATCTTGAGAAACAGTGGCAAAACCTGTTTTCTCTCTCCGTTATTATCATCCACCAAGGACCTAAAAATATCTCCAGCAGGAGCCTGGATGTGTGTGCTAGCCAAGCACCCCACTGCACCACTATTCACCTGATAAAGAACAATGCAGTGACTCGTCCCTGAGCACTGGCGCCTCCCTCCCGAACAGAGATTAAACACCGCGTGCCAAGTACCCTGCACGGCAATGAAAGCCTTTTTGCTCACCCAACTAGCAAAGAGTCTTACTATAATGGCAGCAATGTTCTTCTATCTACTGCAAAGGAGATGTCTCCCTCCAAGGGAGGCTCCCCGAAAGGCATAAAGCCCTTTTGTTCACGGTGATAATGGAGAAGGCTTTTTACACTCAGATGCTTAGCAAAGGCAAACCAGTCTCTCTGCCCCCACCCTCTGCCAAGTGTTCTCACTAGAACACACACACACACACACACACACACACATGTTACGCATTCACCGACAGATGCACACACTGACACATAAACACGCCTGCATATGTACTCTCATTGACACACAGATGCACACGTGTGCACACAGTGACACAGACACATTCATGACTGCATGTGTACTCACTGACAAACAGATGTATACGTGCGAGCGCGTGCGCACACACACACACACACACACACAAACACACACACACACAGCTTCTCACTCAGAAAGGCGAAATGAGCGAAAGGATAGAAGGAGAAGAGATAATCCATTTTCAGGAAATAAAAACTAAAGATTTTTGCCATGTGGCATTTCAGAAGGTGTGATATTATCTGGGGTAGCTGGTAGCAGTTGGCATCAACTTGATTCCAAACTTTGAAGCGTAGTGATTCCATTGAGTAATGGGTTTTTGTTGGTGTGTTGGTTGGGGCTACTCCAGTTGATACTTGCTCTGTCAGTGTGGGTGGGTCTATGGCTCAGTGGCTGGCCTGGTGATGCAGTGTGGCTCAGGGCGCACTGAGAGATACTGGTGGGAAGTTCAGCTGGTCATGCCAGTGGTTCAGTGGCAGGACCCAAGGATGCAACAGTGCTTGGGCTCTGGGGTGCTAGAGATTACTTGGGCCACACCAGGGGTGACATCCAAATGATAAAGGAAGGCCACATGGCTGATGCATCCCTGCACCCTAGTGTATGGATTGTTCAAAAGTCTCATCAAGTCTTTAATAACATTTAGTATGAAATTATTCTGGGGCCAGAGAGGCAATACAGCAGGTGTGGTTCTTGCTTTATGCATTGGAACACTGGTTGAGCGCCAGGACCACATATGGTCCCCAAATCTTCCCAGGAGTAATTCCTGAGCACAGAGCCAGGAGTAAGCCTTGAGCACCGACAAATGTGCCTTCAACACTACCACCCCCCTCCTGCCCAAGAGATAAAAAAACAACAACGAATTTATTCTGCCGGCTTTCTGAGTTTGTGAAATGCATACTAAAGTAAGTTCCAGGCATGTTCAAAGTATTTGGTAGCCACATAAACTTACATGCCAAAAAATATATATAATCTAAAGTAAAAGAGATGAGATCTCATAAAAGGATGCTCAAATACATTTCTATGTATACTGAAGAAAAAGAAACAACATAGAAATTTTGGCTGCTCCCGAACTTGGGAATAGGCTGCCCCAAGAATATGGAATGTATATGTTGGCTCTGCAGTATTAGATTATTCTTTTTCTTTCTTCTCCGAATAAAATTTCTGTGACCTAATCCTTTAAAAAGTGAGTTTGTAGGGATTTTTTTTTGTTCATTTATATCAGGGATTCACAAATTTGTTTGGGCTAATACCCCTTTTTCAGAAAAAAAAAATTACTAAGTGCCTTCTGGAAATGTATCTTTAAACAAGCAAACAGAAAGCACTGATCAAATATATCCAAGGCTACTGCTGCTCCCCCCACCCTGACCATTTCAGCATCCCCCAGGGTGCTATCACCCAGTGATTTAAATGGAAGGCAAAAAAAAAAAAATGGTCACCAAATATACTTGGAAGTAGCAAATAGCATGCCTTTATTCAAAAGCATTCTATACTGTTAGTCTCTGGACATGCCTTTATTTAAAAGCATTCTATATTGTTAGTCTCTGGAGCCCACAATTTATGGATTCCAAAGCAAAAGTTGAAGTTGTAGTTAACCAAGCATTTTACATATCCCTATCTCTGGAACATCTCTAGTGAGATCCTTATTTTTATATTTAAAATGAATGAACTTAGCTTTTGAGGTACAGCTGGCAGTGCTCAAAGTCACTCTGAGTGGTGCTCTGGGAACATACCGTGTCGGGGATTGAACCTGGGCCTCCCGCATGAAAAGCATGCACTCTAGCAGTTGAGCTACCTCTCTGGTCCTCTGAGAAGATTTTAAAAAATCCAAAGCCCTGGCAACTTGTGCCACATCTCGTGCTCAGCCTCTACCTGTCCTTGTGTCTTTACATCAGATAATCAGATTTTTCAAATCTGATCTGTGGGCCAAGGAGATGGCTTACAGGGCATGCTTTGTACGCAAGAGTCCTGGATTAGTCCCTGGCATAACGTGGTCTCCTGAGCATTGGGTGTGGTTCCCCAAAACCCAATTTGTATGATTTGGCCATTTACCCTTATGCTTTAGATCAAGAGAAGATTATTTTGGGGGGGGGGGTTCTAGGTGTTGGGAAATGAACCCAGAGTTTCACACATACGAACATATGCTCAACTAATGAATCTCCAACCTTAGAAAAAGCTAATTTGGGGCACGGGGAGGGGTTTGGCTACACATACGGGATACTATTGGCTCTCTGTTCAGGGCTTACTCCTAGCACTGCTCAGGAGAACATATGTGGTGCTAAGAATTTAACTGGAAGTGCCTTACCTCCGATAGCTAAGTCTCTGGTCCCCAGAAGGCTAAACTTTATTTTTCTGGGGCAGGGGGCTGGGAGCAGTTTGGGCTAACTCAGCAATAACCAGGACTTGCTCCTGGCTCTGTACTTACGGATCACTCCTAGCAGTATTTGGGGGAACCATATGCTGGTGTCAGGGACTGAACCGGGGTCAGTGCATGCAAGACATATTTTATCCCTGTACTATCTCTCTGACCCCAATTTTCTTCTTTTTTTGAATTCTTACTGAGGTAGTGTGATTTACAATACCAGTTTCATGCACACATCATTCCAACACCACTCTCTCCACCAGAGTTATCCTTTTGCCTCCACCAGGTCCCAAAGGCCCCTTCTGTTTCATACCTCCCATCCCAACTTCAATTCTGTGGACCAAGTATCTAGTTCTGTTGCCTTTGGGGCACAATTTTTAAAGAAAATATGAAGTGCCTATTTGTGATCCTGATTGGCTGGGTAGTCCAGGGCTTGCAAACTGGATACCTACCAAAGACAAACTACTGGGAGATGGAATAGTACTTATAGTACTTGGCTATAAGACACAATCATACAGCATCTGCTATCTGGACGGATCTGGAGTATATCATGCGGAGAGCGGGACAGACACAGCATGATCTTCATCATAAACAGGGCAAAAAGAGACCCACTAGGGGAACCACAAATGCCCAAAGGCAATAGACACTGAGACCTGTTCAAAAGGAGATTATCACAGTGGGGGAGAGGGTTAGGGGCATGGGGAAAAAAGAAACTCTGGTGGAGGGTGTGGTGCAGGAATGCTGAATACATGAAACCCTACCACTAACAGTGCTGGAAATTGCAGTTTTATTAAAACTAAAAATATAGTAAAATCTAAAAAACTGGGAGCATGGGTAGAGTCACCCAAAAGTCTTAAGAATGGAGGAAGAACACACAGGATCCAATTTTAGAAGTCAAATATTATTATATCCAAACATTATTTTCCTCATTTGATTCACCAATCCCCCAACTAACATTCATATATCACTAGAGTAATGGTCTTTAAAAAAAAACAAAAAATAGAACAGGGATACAGGGACTGAACTTGGGGTTTCCCACATCCTAAAAAAGGAGCTCTTGAGCTCTTTCCAAGCCTCCTATATGGTCTTTTTCTTTCATCTTTCTGTTTTTTTGGGTCACAGCCAGCAGTGCTCAGAGACACTCTTGGCTTGGTGCACAGGAGTCACTCCTGTGTCACTCAGTGATCAGGGGATCACGCTGTGCAGGGGATCAAAACTGGAACAGAACATACGCTCCTGAACGCTGCTGCTCTAATAGTCTTTAAGAAGCGGCTCTTAACTGGGCTGGAGAGATAGCATAGTGGGTAAGGAACCTGCTTTGCATGTTGATGATCCTGGTTCGAATCCTGGCCCCCCATGTTGTTCTCCCCAAGCATAGTCAGGAATAACCCGAGTACAGAAGCAGGAGAAAGTCCTGGGCTTAGCTGAATGTGGCCCCCCAAGCCAAAAATAAGATAAAATAAAGAAAAAAAAAAAAAGAAAGGCTCTAACTTAGACAGAGCTGACTTTCAGCTATGAAGCTGGTCAGATTGTCCACTGGTTCCTGACTGGCAATCCTCACAGCATGGATGATGGGGGGAAAAGCTGCCTTCTTCCTCTAGCATTAGTGGGTGTGCTAAGCCACATGCCAATGAGAAACAAAAGTGGGCACCAGGAACTCATTTATTCTTTAAAAAATATCAAAACAACAGAAGACAGGATTTACCCGGCTGGCTCAAGAAGCACCTTGAGTTAGTTATTGGCTCCATACCGACTTGTTCAGTAATAAAAGTGATCAAAGTTCCAAACTGCAGGATCTAGAATTCCTATGACGTACATTTAGATAATTCGTGCTGAACACCTGCATGTGTGTTATTTTTATCTGAGCCCCACATTCTTCCATTCTTTGTAATAGTCATCCCCAACCTCCCTGACTTTTGTTAGAAAAAACACTTACATTGTAGCTACCTCCAAACATCAATCTCGTTATTTTACAAAGGGCTGATCTTCACAGTCACTCCCATAGGTTTAAGCACATCTCCTTAAGCAATAGTTAAAATTACAAATGCTAGCTGGCACAGATAGAAATTACAAATGCTAGCTAGTACAGATGGTGCAGAGCTTAAATTGCCTGCCTTGGCCTCTCCCAAGTTAGGTTCAAGCCCCAACACTGATATGGTCGCACCATCCCAGCACTGTCAGAAATGACCCAAACACAGGGCCAAGAGTAAGCCCTGAGCCTCACTGGGTATGGCATAACCTTGGACCAAATAATAAAAATGGAACGTAGAAAAATAATACAAATGGGGGCTGAAGAGATAGTACAGTGGGTAGAGTGCTTGTCTTGCACACATCCAACCTGGGTTCCATCCCTGACACCCCATTTAGTCCCCCAAACCCCGCCAGGAGTAATTCCTGAGCAGAGAGCCAGGAGTAAGCCCTGAACACTGCTGGGTGTAGTCAAAAAAACAAAACAAAACAAATTTTAAAATAATAGTAATGCTACCTGGATGCTGTAAGAAATTAGTTTATTGAACTGAACATATGAGTACATACTAATTTCTCAAAGTAGTCAGTTGGCTGTTACTTAAAGGAGAAGAAAAGGAAAGCGTTGGAAGCATGAGGTGGGGCCCCACCACAGAACCACAGATGCACGGCGGGCACCAGAGAGAGACATCACACATCCCGGGGAGGCCGTCTCGCCTTTGTTTCTCACAGTCCTGTGTTACAGGATAAGACAAGCACCTGCCCGCCAGCTGGAGCTATCCAGAGCAGAGGTGAAGAATTACTATTCTTGGCCCTTTGTTGCTCTGACTGAAAGGCTGGCCATATATACCAGAGAATCAGATGGCCGTGAGAGAGAAAAGGCAAGAGGGGAGAGAGAAGAGAGAAGAGAGAGAGAAATAGAGGGGGGGAGGGAAGAAGGGAGGGAGGGAGAGAGTAGAGAGAGATGAGGGAGGGAGGGAGGGAGGAGGGAGGGTGAGGGAGGGAGGGAGAAAGAGAGAGAGAGATGGGGAGGGAGGAAGGGAGGGAGGGAGGGAGGGAGGGAGGGAGAGAGAGAGAGAGAGAGAGAGAGAGAGAGAGAGAGAGAGAGAGAGAGCACTCTTCCTCTACCCAGTATGGCAGCTGTGGAGGGTATGGGGGGAAAATCCATGCAGAAACATTATGTGAAACACTCAGAAGCTGAATTATGGCCCCACGGGGCAATGGAGGCTCTATCACAATGCTAGGATAACTCCATTGAACAAAAAGACAACTGAAGAAATATTAATTCTGAGCTTTTCAAGTATTACCATCAACGGTAAATGAAAGTAAAAACATTAAGTGAAAGTAACTCTCAGGAGAGACGTTCATAGTTGGCTGAAGAGAAAAGCAAAAATCTGGGGAGTATGGTCTAGGTGGGTTGGGCCAGCCCTTCCAGCACCTGGCTCTATGTTCAGGAGTGACCCATGGTGTTGCTTGGGGACCACGTGAGGTCAGGGGAATCAAACTAGTGTCTGAGATGCTTCACAGGCAAGGCAAGGGTCACACCCTGTCTGCTAGATTTCTGAACTCAAGGGAAGAAAATTTTAAGACAGGTATCTTAAATTCGCTACATTAATGAAAGCATTGATTATTGTCATTGTTTAATTCACAGTGGTTCCTAGGATCCAAGTGCTGTACCTATCTGAATTCCCTAAACCCTCTCACCACCTGAGGGGGCAGGTTCTAGTAACTTCTAACTCCATCCAACTTCCAGAGCTCCTGCTCCCTGTCCAGTGTGCCCTAAAAGCCTCAGTGGTACCCTCAAAGGGTCTCACCAAACACCAGGGAGAGGAAGTAAACAGAGAGCAAGAACCAAAGGATTATCCAAAGCATATGTAAGTTCACAGATACAAAACGAGTAAGTGGAAAATGAGGAAAACAGCTCTTTCCTTTAATTGGGGTGTGGGTGTGGGGGGAGGCCTTTCTCTTCTTAAAATTGAAAAATACCGAATAAAAAACCTCTGTCACCTCTTCATGGGAAGTACACTATCTGATATACATGACTTATTTTCTACTGTACTGGCATTTACCAATTATCCTCCACTACTGTCTCTCCAATGACACAATGTCACCAATGCTGTCGGTGTAACTAAGGAAGACCCTCTTCACGATGTGAATTTCTTGGATGAGCTGAAATTTCATGCAAACTTCAGAGTTATACACGGAGAGTAAATCAAGTTGTGGAAATTCCCCTTGGTTGTCCAGGTACACAGAGGGGATGACACAAAAGTAAATTTCTATCATCCCACTAAACGCTTGCTCATGGCTCATCCTCTCTCTGACCCTCTCTAAGCATAGAGTGTTAAGACTGGTGCCCAAGAGAGGAAAGACATTCTGAAAGGGCTACTGGGACGTATGGACTTCGAAAGCACCACAAATGAGGTTAGTGTCACAATCTGCTGAGCAGCGCGAGGGGCAGGAGAATGCAGTTCTGATGAGCCATACCTAGCTCCTTCTGTATGTTGTCAGGGACGCCTGTAATAGTCTTTCTCCTTTTGACTTTCTTCGGTCGTCTTACCAGAGTGTCTGTGTAAATTAGAGACCGCCGCAGGCTGGCCTGGCGATCGAAATTCTCCCCTAATGTAGAGTAGTAGAACAAGCAAAGCAATGTTATTTTCAAGCGAGCGACACCATGCACTTTCTTCCAGAAGCTTGTTGTCAAATGATAAGGAGGTATTAATAATGAGGTTAGCCAGTCATATGATGAATGGAGGCTGAAGGACAAAAAAAGGAGAGGCAAGCACATTATCATCATAAGGCTCTTTCCCACTGTCTCTGTGTGTGCGTCCTTCCAAAGAAAGCACCTTGATTTCATTTTCAAATGAGCTGCAGCAGCAAATGCAAATGTATGAATAACGCAAATGGATGAGTGGTTCTGGGTGACCTAAAATGTACGACCTCTCAGAGGGATTTGTATACGGTTTCTAGTCACTGAAATCACTCTTGACATCAGCATATAGGCATTGACAACAACGAATACACGTAAATCATCTGGTCAGCTCCAGAGGTCAATATAAGGGTTTTTTTCTAAGTGACGTAATGAGTAGGTTAACCAACCACTCTAGTTGAATAAAAGAACTTTTTTGTTAATCAAAGAAGCTATTTGGCTACAGTGTGGAAATTATTCTGGTGGATGTGAGAACCGTCATGAAAAATAAAAGCCTTATAATGATAAAGTACTTTTTATTACATGAGACCCTGTAGCATTGTTGTTATTAAAGCAGAATCATTTCCCTGTTTTATAATTCCTTTCTAACGTTGAGCTTAACTCAGGCATTGCAGGTAGCATTATCCAACCCAGGATGGCGCTCCCACAGAACCTGTTTTCCTGTCTCCAGTGTAATTTATTTGCATAATGAATATGCCATGAGAAATCAGAATAGTAAAGGATGAGTTATTGGCCCGTATGTTTTAAATTACTTTTTCATGTAATTTTTAAAAAGCTTTATAAAGCATTGTGCTTATTCGAAAAAAAAGAGATAAAAATGCATATAATGTTTATAAATAAAATACTCCCACCATTCCTACATTGTAAGGAAAGAATGAAAAGTTCATTCTGCATAGAAGTCTTGACATTCAAAGTGGTATCTTATGAACAATGTTCCTTCAAAGTTCATGGGATTAAGGTGCAAACAGAACTATAATCAAAACAGATAAAAACCCTGAATGATCAAAACATATGCACGTGTTACTAAGCAACAAACTGAAATACTTGCAAACTTGAAAATATTTGTGACTTTGTTGCCAATGGAGAAAACCATTATCCTTTGCATGAACTGAGATCATTGTGTAGTTTATACAAAAATATATACATACACACACATACATACATATGTGTGTGTGTGTGTGTGTGTGTGTGTGTGTACCGAGGTGAAGAGCTTCTATGCCATAGTTGGTCTGTTTTCTCTGCTGCAAGGGGGGAAATGTCCTTGTATGTACACATTTATAAGGGACCGAACACCAACAGTCACCTTTAGTTTTCCATTTTGCTTCCTAAACAGAAAGAAAAACCACCAAAGCTCCAAGAAAATTAAGAAGCAAAACCATTAAGGGCACTTATCTACCCCTACGCATGGCATCCGAAGACAACCATGTCTATCCATTTCTTGAGGGTACAGACCATGATCCATGTACCTTAGCATTCCCTGTGGCATGCAGCTAATGCCCAACACAAAGCAGTTATTCAGTAAATATCTGGTGAATTGAGAAGAGCTGAATCACTCCCTTTCATTGAAAAAATGGCATTAGTTCGTCATGGTTACTACTTAGGAATACTTAGCTCAAAAGGGTAGGATTAGGTAGGAAGCCACTTTGTACAAATTGTTTAAATATGTATACACAATATATTTATCTTCCAGGTTGAAGAGCTATTTTCCCACAGGAGCAGATTATGGACTACTCTCATAAGGAAATTTTATTGTAAACTTTTTTCCCCCTCTTCAACTCTTAGAACATGCTGAGTCCCCACAGGACTATAACTAACGGGATTACATTGATTTTCAAGTTGGCAGTTCATTGTGCTAATGTTCTACTTCTAAGCCTGGCGGGCTTCACTCTGGACATAATATATTTATTGGCATTTCTTTCTCCTGCTGAACCTTACTGGAAACCAAATGAAAGGGTCAGTGTTCATCCAGATAAATGAGTACATGACAATTCCCTACAGAAATGGTCACCATTTTATCACAAATCATCTGAGACTATAAACATATCATTGAAACAGCAGGAAACTAGACTACGTCAATTTGACAGCTAAAAGTAAAACATTTAAATTCGATGCTTTTTTTACCAGAATAGTAGAAAAACTAACCCCTTTATAAACTATGTGTGAATGTGAATATAAGAATACAGAAAATAGATAAATAAATATGCAATGATTATATTGAATTTCTATATCTCTAACAATGTTAACTACTGAATTAAAAATTATATTTTGATATAAACCATACTTTTCATTTCTTTATTGTCATTCACCATTCCTATATGGAATTTTGAAGGTCTAATTTTAAACACTATGTAATTCTGATTCATTTTAGTTAAATGAGAAAATTAAGCTCAAAGAAATGACACTGTCTACTATTGTGATAATGTATTTCACAGCAAATAATTTTTCAATTCTGAAACTAGTTAGTCCGCTTAAATTTTCTTATCTGATAATACACTTTATCCTAATTCCATTAAGGACTGTCATATTTCATAGTGCAATCACTTTATATTATTTCTGAGTCATTTAATCATATATAATATAATTACATTTCTGCTGCATCTAATCATCAGTAATGTAATGCATTTTATTATGAAAAATATGTACCTACCTATTTCACTAAGGGTATATTTTGTTCCAAAACAGTTACTTAAAAATATAAAAATAACCCTTAAAAACTATGATCTAATATTTCTGAAAATCATATTCAGAAAGATCAATGATATATTTACAAAGGAAACTGATTAAAATACTATGACATTCCTTTAATGCGTGCATACAATAAGTGTGGAAAAATTTATTGTGGAATTAAAAAAATTCATGAATTTGTTTATTAATTTTTTTTCTGAATTCAGAAGAGTTTCTAAATGTAAATTTCAAATACCTTGTAAAAATTTAAGAAAATTCTCCAAAAATTACCAAAATGTAATTAGCTCCTCAAATTCTCACCAATGCCATGGCAAAAACTTTCTAACAGCAGTCAACAGAAATAGTCTCAGAAACAAAGGATATTATGGGGGTTTTTTTGGTTTAGTTTTGGCTTGGGGGCCAAACCTAGTGTTGCTCAGTGTTTATTCCTCGTTGTATGCTCCGGAATCATTACTGGCAGGCTTGGAGGACCAGATGGGATGGTGGAATTGAACTTGGGTTGCCCGTGTACAAGGCAAGCACTCTACCCACTGTACTATCTCTATGGGCCCTGCTATGGATTTTTAATCTTAATGTACTATGAAAACATCCTATCAGTCACTTGTTTATTGTAGGCTCTTAAAGGGCAGGCTTTTTATGGTCAGATTATCAATGGTGACTACCAGTAATTTCTTTCTCTTGAACACATATATATCCCAGTGACTGATTCTATTAACTTTCAACACAACTACTTTGCACTTTGTATACTCCTTAAGCCACTTACCTATCCTTTCTGTGGGTTATGGGGATCAAAAAAGAATTTTATCATCTTAAGTTTAAGCAATGTTTTATAATTTATTTGATTTCTATTTTATTTATTTTTGTGTAGAGGATACACCTGGCTGTCCTCAGTGCTTACTCCCGGCTCTGTGCTCAGGGATTACTCCTGACAGTGTTTAGGGGGCCATTTGCAGTGGGCCATATTTGAACTGGGGTCAGTCACAGGTCACACAAGTAACTTATCCCTGTATTATCTCTCTAAATATTCACCGAATTCACTAAATATTTTGATATTAAGCAAGTTTTGTTGTTTCACACTTGAGAAAAAAACCAAAGCTAGGAAAACACATCGGTCGGAAAAATCATAAAAATATTATCTCTACTTCTAGAACTATTATTTGAAATAGCAGGAAATGTACATATTTTATACTTACAAGGTACCACTTTGTAAACATGTGCAATGTAACTGAGCTACATCCCCAGCCTACCCAGAATCACATTTAGAAGGTGATCCCATTCAACAACCCCCCAAATTACACACAGACACAGACACACACACACACAGTTTGGGGACACCTTGCTGCGTTCAGGAATTGCTTTTAATGCGAAAATACTACATTTTAGATGAATAGCTGGACCACTGAGTTCTTTGATATCAGCCTTTGGTGGCATGGTCTAAGAAGCAATAAATCATTTATATGTACACACATACACCTTAGTATTCCATCATTATACAGAGAGCAGGAAGTCTGAACACAGCTTTTATGACGTAGCAATGGAATGCTACACACACACACACACACACACACACACATTAAACAATAAGCCAGAATCATTCTCCGAAGTATATTCAGTGCCTGTCTGCAGTGCAAAGCATACCGGTTATGTTAATAGGCACCACATCAGCCTGGACGGTTTGGGCTTGCTGCCGCATCTTCTCCTCTGGTGTAGGCAATGGCAAGGACTTGGTCCAGTTTGTCTGAGTGTTGATGTCTGAGAAGTCATTGGAGGTTGGCGTTTTAGATCTCCTGATGGAAATAAGTCGTTCCTCTTCTGATGAAGAAATGGAACTCTGCAGGAGAAAAAGGTAAGAAGAATTCATAATGTAGTTCACAATGTAGATAGCTGGCAAAAATCACTTAAAAATATATTTCTTATTTAAAAGTAATCAAAGGCAATAGAGATAGAGGGGTTAAGGTGCTTGCCTTGTATGCAGCCAACTCCAGTTAAGATCCCTGGCACCATGTATGGTCCCTGAGCACTGCCAGGAGTGATCCCTGAGGGCAGCACCAAGAGAAGGCTAGAGTAGCACTTGGTGTGGCCCACCCAGGTCTTCCTATTAATAACATTAATAATACTATTAATAATAATAATTGTATTTACTGGTTTTGGCATATCGAATACGCCATGGGTAGCTTGCCAGGCTCTGCCATGCAGGCGGGATACTCTTGGTAGCTTGCCGGGCTCTCCGAGAGGGGCGGAGGATCAAACATGGGTGGGCCATGTACAAGGCAAATGCCCTACCTGCTATGCTATTATTCCATGTAATAATAATAATAATAATAATAAATGAAACGGATTTGAAGCAAGGAAAAAATTGTTCTTATTTAGAAAAAACTAGAAGCAATAGCTCGCATGAAAACTGCTAATCTGGAGTGTGACCCAATTGACATAGGCCTTAGCATCCACACAGGAAGATTGCAAGTGGTTTTGCTGAGCCACCAAATCTTTTTCCAATTTTCCTGCTTCTCCTATATTGACAGCGGTCAGAAAGCTGCTGGACTTAGTTTAGCATTAAAAGCCCAAAAGCACATCCAGGCTGGTGACCACTGGTTTTCATTTTTATTAAAATTTAGTTTTGCTCAAGGTAATTTCTAGCCTCCATCTCATTTTCTTTAGACTCTGACCCTCACAGGACATTTCAGAACAGACAGAGCCATTGGCCAACTCTACATGCTCTTCCGAAGGCATTTACGTGAACAAAAATCAGTGTGAAATTGTTACATTAGAAGAAGCTGACTAAAGCTCTTCTTTGAACCTTATCAGAATTTCATGAAAACATTTCTAGCAGTGTCTGTTTTGATACAGATTTACAGCCGAACTGGGGGGAGCCCTCTTCAATACCTGGCTTCCCATTCCATCTCAAAAAGCGTCAGCATGAAAATTGTTTTGGGAAACGTTTCTTGCAGTCTTCAGCATTACCACCTGGAGGCTGATTCTATTGCAACGGCACTCCGAGGATTCAAGAGAAATATGATGTTGTTGGTGAAAACACTCCCCAAACTTGACTTTTGCTGAGGGATTATTCCTAGCTCTGTGCACAGGGATCACTCCTTGCAGGGCTCATGGGCCCATATGTGGTGCTGGGGATCGAATCCAGGTCGGCTGCCAGCTACAATTTCTCTCCCTCAAGGAACTGTTCTTCCAGTTTAAAGTCATTAGCTACCACATATGAAAATGAGGCATTGGAAAAAAAAGTTTTGCTTCAGACAGAACAAGATGTCAATGAGCTTTCTCAAAGAAGTATCTATCTATCTAGCAATAGTTCATTCATTCTCTTAACCCCATTTCCTGTGAGTGTGCATGCAGACATAGATACACACACACACACACACACACACACACACACACACACACAGTGTGTGATGGCTGGATCATCCTTATTCCTAACACCACATTCTGGTTGTATTTGAATTTTCTACAAAGGAAATTGGATTCTTTTTCCATAACAAACTTCCTCCACACAAGAGGATGTCTGTGAGATTTTTTTCTGTCTCTGAAAAGAATGAGTCTTTCTGAATTTAACTCAAGTGCCTAAGATAACACTGGTTAAGACAATGACAGACATACATCAGTCTGGCATCTCAGAAGAATAGAACCATCACAGAATAAGTCTTGCAATAGAATCACTACAAATCGGAAAAGACTGCACAAGAGATGTCTAAACACAAACTGATTTAGACCAACTAGACTATTCAGCATTCTTTGGTGTTGGAGACAGGGGCCGAGATGAAGAATCCGTTTGTCTCTATTCATGTTATACCTCCCAAGAGGTCTTGACGTTCTTCCTAAACCCGGGAAGAGTCTTTGCTCCACATGGGGTCAGATGTCCACTTTCCATGTCCCATGAAAGAGAGGTGCTGCTGTTACATGTTTGGCCGATCAGTTTGGTCCCTGGCACTGCAGGGTCCCTGCATCGGTAGGGCAGTTCTGGAGGCAACTAAGTACCACCAGGGGCTGTGGGCAATCCCTGGTACCACAGAACTGCACAGCACTGCAACCTCCAGCATGATTGACTGTGTATTGCTGGGAAGGACTTTTAGATGCCCTGAATACTTCTTGGAAATCTCTGCACCCCACATTAAAAAAGTGGGGGAGGGGGAGAAGGAAAACACCTACTATTAAGCATCAGATACAAAGTTGTGATTTTAGAAAAGCAAAATCCTGAGCTGACAAACAGCCACATTTTTCTTTTACTAATATTAATAAAGACTTTGTAGAAGTGAATACATAAAACAAATCATATAATCTCCCCTCCACTTCCACCCCAGGGATTGACCATATGCAAGACAAGCACCTTATTACCACTGGTATCCTCTCTCCAGCACCTGGGCTATTCTTAATACAGAAAGCATCAAACTAATAATGGTTTCTTTGGAGGCTGGAGCAATAGCACAGCGGGTAGGGCATTTCCCTTGCACGCGGACAACCTGGGTTCGATTCCCAGCATCCCATATTGTCCCCTGAGCATCGCCAGGGGTAATTCCTGAGTGCAGAGCCAGGAGTAATCCCGGTGCATCACCAGGTGTGACCCAAAAAAGCCAAAAATAAAAAGTTTCTTTTCCACTTAAGGAAATTTGAAATATGATGACAATTAAATACATGTAATTTATGATGAATATAATTTACAGACATCCAATTATAATACTAAACTGTGCCGTGTTTTTCATGTTTGATCTCATTCTGATTGAAATGGCTGTAACTCCTACAGTGCCCCGAACAGCAAAGACATTTTGAGTCAGCAGCCGCTAAGCCACATGAAGCTGTAAGTAAGTCAATTATTCCCACCTTTTTTGTGCAGTTGTGACATTGCTGTTGAATTTAACGTATGATACATTTTCTCTGTTCGTGAGGTGCAGACACACACACATCCATGCATATGTTTAGATTAAAGGAAGTGTTCCTTGATACTTTCAAACTGTGTGCCTAAAGAGTGCCTGGTTGAGATCAAATTTTAATTTCTAAATTAAAAGCTTTCTCCAATTTTCTGATGGACACACAGAAATACAGTTTCAGGCAAATGTGAAGGACGGCGCGTATTTGAAATGACACCAGAAGCAAAACCACCCAGGCTTGAAAGAAAGAAAATCAAAGTTCTGGGGGGATGGAGAGAGGTAACACAGCCGCGAGGGGCCTCCTTTGCCATGTGATGTCAGTGCAGGATGTGGAGAAGCACTACTCTGCATGAGATCAATGTGTGCCCACACGCAGTGACTAGTGACACACTTTCCTTTCAGCTGACGGGCGGGTGTCAGGCTCAATCACCACCACGACACAGGACATTAGTGAGCCATTCCACCAAGAATGCTCACTAGGGACAGCTCTGACAGGACAAATGACAGCAATCAGCTCTTTGGTAAAGTGCTCCCTTCTCTGCAAGAAAATCTCCCAGACAAACAGGGCCCAGATAAAGTTATAAGCAAAGGTGACTGTTACACAGTGCTGCAATCTACTAAGAGAAATTAAGCAGACTCGCAGTCCCTGTATATATAAACACGGCAATCCCTCCTGCATCTCTGAGGCAGAAGGCTGAAATGCAACTGGAGTGTAGACAACTCTGGATTTTTATCTCAGCCTCCTAACTAGTCTCCATGTTTCTGCCCACAGCCCATATCCTCCCTCTAAAAGTCTATTTGTTAACACCACAACCAGAGGGGCCAACTGTGCATCAGACCCTGGTTTGATCTCTGGCACTACATGACACACCAAGTACCACCAGATGCAGCTCTGTATGCTCAGGCCATCAACGAAGCGGCCAAGCGGTACCCAGCACTGCAGGGTCTAAGTAGTGCTACATTTTCAGACCTTGGCACAGAACTGTGTGGTCAGATGGCTGAGAATCTCTGGGAGTGGCCTGAGACCCTGAGGCTACTTAAGAACTCTCCTTCCCCCAATATTTTGTAGATTCAGACATTTTTGCATCTCCTTTAAGTTCTCCTTAATGCAGAAGTGTCTCCAAATAAACATTTTTATAAAGAAAACAAGGATTTTTTTGTTTGTCTTCTGATGGAAACGTAAGTTCAGGGAGGATTTTAGTGAGCACTGCCTAACAGCTGTTGCAAATTTTTAGCTAAAAAGAGACCACTTATTCATTTTGCTATATGCCTTATCCTGGAGTCAGACTTTATTTTTTTATTTTTAAAAATTTTTATTAGTGAAACACCATGAGGTACAGTTGTAGACTTACAAATTTTTGTGCTTGGGTTTCAGTTAAACAATGATCAAATACTCATCCCTCCACCAGTGACCACTCTCTACCACCACTGATCCCAGTATCCCTCCCACTTTAATGAAACCTCATCTTATCTTCCCAGCATCAGTCATGTCTTATCAATAAGGAAATGCAATTATAGCACTTTGACTTTGGACAAGTTCACTAGTGGACAAATGGGATTAGAACCAAGAGCTGGGAGCCAGAGAGACAGTACAGGGGGTAGGGTGGTGCTTGCTTTGCATGCTGGTGACCTGGTTCAATCCTTGGCACTACAAACAGTTCCCTGTGTACTGCCAGGAGTGAACCCTGAGCACCACTGGATGTGGTCCAAACTCTCCCTGCATTCCCACCCTCATAAAAAAAAAAGTGCTAACACCAAAGTTTCTGCTATTAATACAGTGTAAAATAACAATCTGGCAATACTTACAATAAATTAGAGTAAGTCCTTAATATCACCAATAGAGTCTTGGAAGCTGATTTTAAAGAAAGCAACATGTAACAAAAGCAGGTCCATCATGAATTTTTTTTTATCAAGGTCAGGTGGATTATGATCATAAAAGTTATGATAAAACAATATT